AAAAAAATGCAAAAAAATCATTTCTGACACCCCTAGGCTTAGTACGTCAATATAATTCACCAAAACCATACTGCAGTCCTTCAATTATCATACAGGGAAATTTTCATCTTTCTAAACATCCCAACGAATGATTTGACAGGTTCTTTGATCTTATTCTAAAGAAAAACTTTAAAACTTATTTTTTCGTTGATTTTTAATATATTTTTTGCATTTAAGGGTCGTTCTATGATATAAGAATTTAGATGGTTAAATGTAGAAAATTTATTCAATTTCCACAAAACCAGGAAATATAATAGAACCTACAAAACTTTATAGTTCGCTCATCATTGAATTTAATTAACTGATTATCTTTATATTTGATCCTGGTTGCTTAAGGCACCGTTACATTTTCTCCAAAAATTATTTAAGAAAATTTAAAAATCCCAACGTTTATTTTGAATAAAATTTTGCTCATTTTCAACAGTTTAATGGGGGAATACTTTAAATAATTTACAATGATTATTTAAAAAATATAAGCTTTGTATACTAGCTTATTATACAAGCTTATTATATAAGCTTTATATACAAGCTTATTATATAAGCTTTGTATACTAGCTTATTATACAGGCTTATTATATAAGCTTTATATACAAGCTTATTATACAAGCTTATTATACAAGCTTTATATACAAGCTTATTATACAAGTTTATTATACAGGCTTATTATATAAGCTTATTATACACGCTTATTATAAAAGCTTATTATACTTGCTTATTATATAAGCTTATTATTCAAGCTTATTATACAAGCTTATTATACAAGCTTATTATACAAGCTTATTATACAAGCTTATTATAAAAGCTTGTTATACAGGCTTATTATACAGGCTTATTATACAAGCTTATTATACAAGTTTATTATACAAGTTTATTATACCAGTTTATTATACAAGCTTATTTCACAAACTTGTTATACAAGCTTATTATACAAGCTTATTATACAAGCTTATTATACAAGCTTATTATACAAGCTTATTATACAAGTTTATTATACAAGCTTATTTTACAAGTTTATTATACAAGCTTATTATACTACCTTATTATATAAGCTTATTATACAAGCTTATTATACAAGCTTATTATACAAGCTTATTATACAGACTTATCATACAAGCTTATTATACAAGCCCAGAATATGCTTTAATGCAAAGACTTATATTTTTGCGTAGAGTGAGTATACTTATATTTTTGAGTAGAATGATTAGACTTATATTATGGCATAGAATGATTAGACTTTATAATTTGCGTAGATATTTTTGAGTAAAATGCGAAGCCCTTTTTTGGGCTGAGAATGCGAAAAATTTGTATATTTATAATTTACAAGAGTTTTAGGGCGCTTCGCGCCCATCTTCTTTTTAAATTGTGAACATTGTCTCTTTGAATGCATTGTAAAACAAAACCAAACAAAAATTTCTTGGATTTTATCAAAAAATTTCGTGGATTTTCAAAATTTTCAAAAATCGATTTTTATTTGAGGCAAATTTTTGAAAATTCGATCATCCATAAACCTTCCTCGGGTCAAGTGAGGTTTGAGGTTCCACAAAAAAATTGGGCTCGATCGGATCAGCCGTTCAGACGTTTTTTGAATTAAAAAAAACAGACAGACAAACAAAGTATATATATAGAAGTAGGATGCATATAGCCATGAATTGCGTATATTACGAAAAATGTGCATATTTATATTTTGAGTAGAATGCGTTGACTAAGTTTATATAAAATGCGTAGCTAGATTGCGTAGAATTTGCGTTTGCAACCATGATTTCTCCGTGTGAAGGTTTGAACTTGACTTTCTCCCTGTTTAGACTGCTCCTATTGCTCCTACTACTGGAGATAATGATGACATCTGGCCATCTGCTGCACAGTCAGCTGATCAACCTCAGATACAAGACATTCAGGATTAAACAACATTCAGATTCAGATTCAACCCCCCCCCCCTTGTCTACTCCCCTTTTCCCCCTCCTCTTTATCTTTCTTTGAACACTGTTAGTGAAAGGAATTGAGTGTTTGCCACAAACTCATATTCCAATATTCCAAACTATGAACTTACACCGTCATGTTGCTAAGATATAGAGATTAGAACATTTGAGTTTGTGGCAAAGACTCAGTTCCAAAACACTTATTCGAAAATTAGAGTTTGAGGAAAGAGTTCAGTGTTCTTTTTTACATGAGGTTTAGAAATTTCTTATTAAGACTTCTTCATATTCTCTCTAGGTTAATAGTAGAATTCTTTCCATATCTTTCTGGAATTTTTAACAATTAGATGTTGAGAACATTTCTCAATAAGGTTCTCATAATTTGAAAATTAAAAGATTCTATTTAATCTATTCTGACAATTTTCTGAAGTTTCACAACTTGACATTAAAGATAATGATGGTTTCTTTTACTAATGATAGCCTGCAACAATCAAACTGTAAATCAAACTAAAGAAAACAACCGCGCCTAGAGAATTCTTGTGTAACATCTGGTAAAATCAGATTTTACATATGTCCTCTGTAAATTTTTCCTGAATTATGTATTAATTGCAACAACACATTGATTTTATTTAAGAAGTTATCAAGAGCTCGTTAATAATAAATTAACTTGAATTTTGTTAGCATGAAATATATACAAACGGCGTCAAATTAGAAATAAAATTTTTGGAATGTTTTATTATCTATATCTCACGTCAAACTAAAGTGAAATTTTATTTGTTTTCAACTATAACTCCTCTTTTCGCACAGTTATAAAGAAGAACATAATTGTTTGAAATTTCCTACATGCAACTGTAGAAATTTGCTTTTTTCTCACCAAAATCATCCCAGCATGATGTCACAAAATGTTGACTGTCTCTCTCTGTTTATTTCATTGTGACCTTTTTTGAATCTCAATTTCTGGACTATTTTAATATTTTAATATTGTTTGCCCCACGGCCCCCCCACCAGCAAAATTATGAAGATCTTAGGTGACAATGTTGGTTTAATGTTTAGGTTCAATGTGAGAAAACTAGTGTAAGAGTAAACATCAAGTTTGACCGGCCCTTCTACGGAATGGTGTTCAGCAAGGGGTTCTACTCGGACCCTAAATGTGTTCACCTGGCGGCAGGAAGCGGAACTATTACTGCTAGCTTTGAGATTTTCCTAAACCAGTGCGGTATGACGAGCAGCGGGAATACAGAGAACTACGGTCAACCCAACCCTGCTGGAAGCTTTGTAGAGAGCACTGTAATAATCCAGTATGATCCGCTTGTTCAAGAAGTATGGGACCAAGCAAGGAAGCTTCGATGTACCTGGTATGACTATTATGAGAAAAGTGTAACATTCCGTCCTTTCCAAGTTGACATGATCAATGCCGTGACAGCAAACTTCTTGGGAGATAACCTTCAATGCTGGATGCAGATTCAGGTCGGGAAAGGACCATGGTCCAGTGAAGTTAGCGGTATTGTTAAGATAGGACAAACTATGACGATGGTGTTAGGAATCAAGGATGATGAGAATAAGTTTGATATGCTGGTTAGAAACTGTGTTGCTCATGATGGAAAACGGTCTCCAATCCAGTTGGTAGACGAACTTGGATGTGTCACAAGGCCAAAGATCATGTCTAACTTTCAAAAAATGAAAAACTTTGGTTCCTCCGCTTCAGTCGTATCATATGCCTACTTCCAGGCGTTCAAATTCCCAGACTCTATGAACGTTCACTTCCAGTGTGTAATCCAGGTTTGCAGATTTAATTGTCCGGATCCAGTTTGTGGTGGAGGAGATATCGCAGCATCAGCTCCAGGCACGGATATTGCACCAGCTTCCATCAACTATGGCGGACCTAATGAACGCTCCTTCAATGTCGATCCCCGTGTTGCCCGTCCTGCTGGCCTCGTTATTGGAGAAGATCAGTTTGACCAGCTACTCTCTCCGGAGCAACAAAAACCAGTTTTCATCGATGTTGGTCCCCAAGGAAGCAGACGCCGGGATGGTCCTATTCCACCTAAAGGAATCAATACAATTCCAATCGTTGGACGTGCACCACGTGTGAATGCACCTCCTGCTATACCCGATCTAAAGCGGACCATCAGGGACCTTCTGAAGCGGAAAGCGCTGAAGGACCAGGAGCAGTTAAGACGAGTGAGGAGGGAAAGCGAAGATATCATGAGTACTAAGGCTAGACAGGACAATGAGGGTAGACCTACATTAAGAAGAATTTATAAAAGAGCAGCCCAGGAGATGGCAGACATTGAGACAAACAGTGTTATCCAGGTATGGTTTAAGCAAAATATGATTTTACACTTGAGTTGGTTAAGAAGGGATGAATGAGTAAATATTTTAGGTTTTATCTCCTGGTGATGTTGCATTCACACTTGGGTCCGGGAATGACACAACAGTGGTCCTCAACTCCTCGGAGTGGGACCAGGACAACATCTGCATGTCCTGGTCTTCTCTTGTGGGAGGGCTGGTTATGCTCATAGGTAATATTTAGTTAATCAAAACTACTTTACAGGGAAAATAAAGTTCATTGATTGAGGTGAATAAAACTTTCATTTTTTAATGAACGCGATGTTGTCGGCCGTTGAAATGAAATATTTTTGAAAACTTCGCAGAGGGGACGTTAATTTTTAGATAAACTAGAGACAATTCCTAGAGACAATTTATTAAGATTTGAAGGGTATAGTGGTTGTAATTTAATTGTAAATCTTGGATCTATAAAGTTATTAAAAAGGCGGTAAAAAATATTCTTTTTTTAAAGATTATTTAATTATGAAAAAATAAAAATTTTTGAACACATAAATTACAGATACAAAGTTCCACAGGGTTTCTTGTAAACACTTTAAATCGATCTGGCCTGTAAGTTTTAAACTTCTTTTAAAATTATTTGATATTCAATCTAACAATTACTTTTTTTGTGGTTTGTGTCAAAAGTTTATTATCTCCAAACAAACCTTTTCTAGAAGGATATTGTAATATTGTAGAAACGAAACTTTTTATCTTTTTTAAAATCACAAAAAAATTAAGCAGTTTCACATCCAAAACATTTGAAATTTTGGCATTATTGAAAGCTATAATTACTAAAAGATTGAAAGTTAAAGAATTTTTTTTTAAACCATGAACAATAATTAGTTTATAACTTTGGTTCCAGGAAATCATCAAATTAATTTTACAAATTTAATTAAAATGTTTTAATATTCGTTGATCTTGTGTGGGTTTAATTGAATAACAGTCAAGGACAGGTATAATTGAAAATTTCCCAGATTTTTGTTACAAGAGAAAAAAATGTATTTTTCGGGTCTGAACAACAGGGGACTCTTCAGTTAATTGAACTAAACACCGAACCCTTATTTTTTTTAAAAACCTAGTGGCGTAAGCCGTAAACCTTTAATATTTTATACTAGACTACAGTGAAAACCAGAAATATTTTTTCTTTTTCAATTAACTCTTATTGAATCACTAAAAGTGATATCGGTCTTTTTACACCGCACAATTGCTGTGTCCATGAACTTTTAATTTTTTAGAATTATAACTTGATTTAAAAGCTGTCTTTCTATTTCAGAGTTTTCTGGTTATAACTGTATTAATTCTAAAGAATTATATTTTGAAATATTAAAGATCTACGACATTGCAGGTTTCAAAGGATTAGATAATTCAAATTATTCGTGGCGAATGTTCAGTTTTTTTATACTTTCTCAAAATAATCTCTATTAAAAATGATTTTTAAACTTTTTTTGTCTAATGTCCAGTGTTTTTTTGTTTGCATAGACCTACTTCCTGCAATACGGTGTCTAATATCCTGTTTTGCATTTTGCTGTTTAGTAGAACATTGATTAACAATGTGAACTTTTTGTTGTTGTTGTTATTGTACATACTTTTTTATTGTCTTCCAATGACAAACATTTTTTTGCCACAAGAGAAATTTATTTCAAAACATCTTGGGTTGAAATAGAGAAATTTTTCTCAAGCTAGCTCTACATTGTAATCTGTGAATTATTTGTAAACTTTGTGCAATATTTGACTAGTCTAGGAATATTATTTATTTGACGCAATTCAACCAATTATATGTTTAATCATGAGAGATAAACTGACGCAAGAATAATAAACTTAGTGCGTAAGAGCGTAACAACGCATTTCCAATCTGACGTGAAATTTCTCCAGCAACTGGTGGTGAATACCAGGACCTGGAGAAATCCGACCATCTTGAACCAGAAACTCAGGCCAGCTGTAAACCCCCAATATCGGAGTTAGACTGATAAATCTTCCATGCTTAATATAAATATCGATAAATAAAAAAAAAGTTTTCACAATTTCCAATATCTCGTAATTTTATTAAACATTTTAATCTTTTGTTTGTGATTGTAAATATATATATATAATAAATAAATATCAATGTTTTTAGGGGGGTAAAAGATATAACCTGCCCAGTGTCCAGTCTACCATTTAATTGACAATCAACTGACTATTTAAATATTTACAAAAACTTAGCTGAATTCCAAATTTTTGATTTGATATTGCACTAAATATTTTAGAATATAATGCACATTGATGGAATTCCATCGAAAGTACAGTGAGAACCATAACTGTGGAAAGTACAGTGAGAACCATAACTGTGGAAAGTACAGTGAGAACCATAACTGTGGAAAGTACAGTGAGAACCATAACTGTGGAAAGGGAAGATGACATTTAATCAATCTGATTTTTGTAGCTTGACAATCATATTATTTAGTGAAATAGATCTTTGTACTCTACACAATCGTCATATTTGATGTTCATTGGACTATTTAAAATCATACCTAAAGTCAAGGTTATAATGCAAGGAAAGTTATTTTAGAGGTGTATGCATCTTTTGAACTGCAGTGTCAAATTTTTATTTTTATCAAAATTTAATGTTTTTAACCTTCTTGGATACTTAACGAACACTGACACATCTATTTTTGTTTACAAATTCCGCCCAGAGAGAACTAGTTTCAATATGTACGCAGAGAATACGCAACTGCAATTAACTTTCCTTGCATTATGACCTTGCCTAAAGTCTTCTTTCTATTTCACAGTTTTTAGTTTTCACTGTTTTTGCTGTTGTATAATCTCTGTTTTAAACTTCACAAAATCACCTTAAAACGTGCTTAAAACTGTACTAAATTACAGGTATTTTTAGTCTAAATTATCTGATCTGTATCATAGTAGTGCTTAGTTAGGAATTATCCGTATCTGTATCATAGCAGTGCTTAGGAAGTATCTGTATTATTATTATGTAAAGCGCTTAAGAATTATCTATTTTTATCATGTCGTTCTATAGGAGTTATCTTTATCTGTATCTGAATCATGTATTGGTTAGGAATTATCTGTTTATGTATTTGTATCATGTATTACTTGGGAATTATCTGTATCATGGTAGTGCTTAGGAATTATCTGTATTGGTATCATGTAATGATTTGGAATTATCTGTATCAATATTATGTTTTGGTTAGGAATTATCTGTATCTGTATCATGCGGTGGTTAGTAATTATCTGTATTGGTATCATGTAATGATTTGGAATTATCTGTATCAATATTATGTTTTGGTTAGGAATTATATGTATCTGTATCATTTAGTACTTGGGAATTATCTGTATATATCTGTATCATGCGGTGGTTAGGAATTATCTGTATCTGTATCATGCGGTGGTTAGGATCATTATCTTTATCTGTATCATGCTTTTTAGAAGAAAAAAAAATATTTATTTTTGGTCCAATAAAGATAATTTCATTTTTTGGACCGAAATCTTCCCCCTTTCACACTTTTAACCTTTCATTCATGTACATAATCATACTCATGGGAATCCAGACTATATGGAGGTAGGGAACCATAGAGTAATAAAATATATATATTGGTTCCATGTGCAGGGTTATCTAAAAAGAATGAGACTTCAAGGACGACTTTACGAATAAAATTTGGTATTTTTCAGTTCATTGTGTTTCCCTCCACGTGTACATTTGCTTCCCTTTACGTGTACATTTGTTTCCCTTCACGTGTACATTTGTTTCCCTTTACGTGTACATTTATTTCCCTTTACGTGTACATTTGCTTCCCTTCACGTGTACATTTGCTTCCCTTCACGTGTACATTTGTTTCCCTTTACGTGTACATTTATTTCCCTTTACGTGTACATTTGTTTCCCTTCACGTGTACATTTGTTTCCCTTCACGTGTACATTTGTTTCCCTTCAGGTGTACATTTGTTTCCCTTCACGTGTACATTTGTTTCCTTCAGATGTACATTTGTTTCCCTTCAGGTGTACATTTGTTTCCTTCGCGTGTACATTTGTTTCTTTCACGTGTACATTTGTTTCCTTCGCGTGTACATTTGTTTCTTTCACGTGTACATTTGTTTCCTTCACGTGTACATTTGTTTCTTTTTCTGTCAAATCTATCTGTAAATATAAAATTACAAGATTTATTGATGAATTCCCATCACAAGATCAAAATACGCAGATGTTGGCACGAGCCATTCTGAAATGGGGTGAGGGGGGATTTAAGTAGATTTTATTTTATAAATATTTTTCAAACAAAATATTAGCTAATAGGTTTCAACAAATTAACAAATGAAAATATCAAATTATAAGAAATGTATTACTATCCACCACCTAATTCGGCTTTTGAGTTGTTTCAGACAGCTCCCTAGGGTTAAATGCATGGCAGATGGCAAACACTGTTTAATTCCCTAAATATAGCAGTTTATGTACAACATTCATAGTGGACGGTTTACTCTCAGAAACTAAACTGAGTTAGTGAAGTGAAACAAAATGGTTCCGAAGAACTATATCCCTCTTTCTGAGCACTTTAAATTGCTGGAGGAGTCTCATAAAAATATCGGAGGCTCCTGGGAGACAGATTCCGGAATCGGAGACAGTCCTCCGTCCTCTCCGTTCTTTCCTACATCTCCTTCTCCGTCGACGAGAGATACTCCGTTCTTCAGCTCAAACTCTTCTAAGGAGAACAGAGTTTCTGTTCCGTCCTGTCCTGAAGAAACCGAACCTAGTCCTGGTCCATGTATGGGACTCAATACAGAGCTGATAAAGTTAAATAAAACAATTCTTTTTCAAAATCCTTCCCCAGCATATTATCATTTAGCTTCTGGCGTCGTGACCAATCCCTTTACAGGTATACTTTGATGTATTTAGATATTTACAGTTTTTCAATGAAAAAGATAAACTAGGAATAACTGTAAAACCATGATCTTGTCAGATAGATATAATGTATTTAAATATTTTTGCAGATAGATAGATAACAGGGATAAAAGGAAAAGTTTGATACTTGAGGGAGAAGAGGGAGTAAAGCCCAAATGGAGTAGAGTAGGGAGAGGGGAATGGAGTGTAGTATGGATAGGGAAATGGAGTAGAGTAGGGAGAGGGGAATGGAGTAGAGTAGGAAGGGAATGGAGTAGAGTATGGAGAGGGAAATGGAGTAGAGTAAGGAGGTGGATCGAGTAGAGTAAGGAGAGGGATGAGGTGGAATTGTGCGGGGATGATTAGGGAGTAGGGAGGAGTAGAGATGGTGCAAGAAATTAGAAATGAATAATTAGAACATACATGAGATGAAAAACTATGATAGATAGATGTTCTAATTAGATAGAGAGATAGAGGACAATAGCCATGGTCTCCATAGTTAAAACCTCCATCTTGACAAGTACACCTTCAGTATCTATCTATCTGCTCAATCTTTATCTTACTATCTCTCTCCTCTCCACCCTCGCTTTTACAGTTTCAATAAGGAATATAATTCTTACCAAATACAAATGTAACGTCATGGTCAGTGTCGTGTGTAGGTTTTATCTCGGGTATCACCGGAGGGAAAAAATGAAATTTCAAATGAAAGGGAATGTTCGCTGTTTTGAAAAGACAAACAATCCAACTCAGCAATTATACCGCTTGAAGATATCTCAACCAGAATGGTAACTATCCTCTGTAAAAGTTATGATAAAAGTTTTATTAAAAAAATCGGATTTCTTAAAAATTTTAAATCAGAGACAATTTATCTAATCAGAGAAAACTTTATCTAATCAGAGACAACTTTATCTAATCAGAGACAACTTTATCTAATCAGAGACATCTTTATCTAATCAGATACATCTTTATCTAATCAGATACAACTTTATCTAATCAGAGACATCTTTATCGAATCAGAGACATCTTTATCTAAATAGAGACAATTTTATCTAATTAGAGACAACTTTATCTAATCAGAGACATCTTTATCTAATCAGAGACAACTTTATCTAATCAGAGACAACTTTATCTTATCAGAGACACCTTCATCTAATCAGAGACATCTTTATCTAATCAGAGACATCTTTATCTAATCAGAGACAACTTTATCTAATCAGAGACAACTTTATTTAATCAGAGACAACTTTATCTAATCAGAGACAACTTTATCTAATCAGAGACAACTTTATGTAATTAGAGATAACTTTATCTAATCAGAGATAACTTTATCTAATCAGAGACAACTTTATCTAATTAGAGACAACTTTATCTAATCAGAGACACCTTCATCTAATCAGAGACATTCTATTCTATTCCATCAACAGTTTTATCAGCTCATGGAAAATAATATCAAGAATTTAAAACCTTGATCTCTAAGTTCTATTGTTATCCCTGAGATTTAGAGAACCCTCCCTCTCCTTCTCCTCCCTCGCTCTTCTCTCTTCTCTCTCTCTCTTCTTCATTGACTCCACACCTGATATTTGACTGTTTAGTAGGTGGGATGGAGTCCGGTAGGAAGGAAAGAATGAGAGTAAGATACAGTGTTGATTACTACAACCCTACCCACTCCCCAATGCTGAAAGAAAGATTTTTCCATTCGAGCAGGAACGGAACCCGTCCTTCAACCTGCAGCACTGTATCCTTTCTGGGATCCGAAAGATCGCCAAGGTAAACCTTTAAGTTTTAAAACTTTATTGTGCTTAAAATTAACAAACATTTTAAAGTTGCTTCATATTAATATATTTCTTAGAGCTTGATATTTTAAATATTTCTTAGAGCTTCATATTTCCAATATTTCTCAGAGATTCAAATTTTCAACATTTCTTAGAGCTTTATATTGTCAATGTTTCTTTAAACTTTACATTGTCTATTTTTGTTAGAGCTTCATATTGTCAATATTTCTTAAAGTCAATATTTCTAATCATGTTTTCAATATTTTAAAAGCTTTATATTGTCAAGATTTCTTAGAGCTTCATATTTCAATATTTTTTAGAGCTTCATATTTCAATATTTCTTAGAGCTTCATATTTCAATAATTCTTAGAGCTCCATATTGTCAATATTTCTTAGAGCCTCATGTTTTCAATGTTTTAAAAGCTACTTTATACTGTCAATATTTCTTAGAGCTTCATATTGTCAATATTTCTAATCATGTTTTTAATATTTTAAAAACGTTATATTGTCAATATTTCTTAGGGCGTCATATTGTCAATATTTCTTAGAGCTTCATACTGTCAATATTTCTTAGAGTTTCATATTGTAAATATTTCTTACAGCTTCATATTATTAATATTTCTTAGAGCTTCATATTGTCAATATTTCTTAGAGTTTCATATTGTAAATATTTCTTACAGCTTCATATTGTCAATATTTCTTAGAGTTTCATATTGTAAATATTTCTTACAGCTTCATATTATTAATATTTCTTAGAGCTTCATATTGTAAATATTTCTTAGAGTTTCATATTGTCAATATTTCTTAGAGCTTCATACTGTCAATATTTCTTAGAGATTTATATTGTCAATATTTCTTAGAGCTTCATATTGTCAATATTTCTTAGAGCTTCATATTGTCAATATTTCTTTGAGCTTCATATTGTCAATATTTCTTAGAGCTTTATATTGTCAATATTTTTTAGAGGTTCATATTTTCAATATTTCTTAGAGCTTTATATTGTCAATATTTCTTAGAGCTTCATATTTTCAATATTTCTTAGAGCTTCATATTGTCAATATTTCTTAGAGCTTCATAATTTTGATATTTCTTAGAGCTTCATAATTTCAATATTTTTTAAAGCCTCATGTTTTTATATATTATAAAAGCTTTATATTGTCAATAATTTAAGCTAAAATATCAAAGCGTAATTTCAAATTCTCAATTCACAATGGTACCATTGAAATCTTTTCAATAATGGTTTTTCTAAGTTTAAAATTGTTACTGATTTTTTGCATGAATTCCTGCAGTAGAAATGCGCAAGTCACTTTAGTAGAGGAACCATTATTGAAAATAATCAGTGTCTGGCCATCTAAAAGCTTCTAATGGTTTCGTTGTGAATCTTGCATTGTAATCTTTGCATGAAGGGTCACTTGAAATTACGTTTACATCTCCCTTTAATAAAATCTTAAAGTCTTTAAATTCTAACATTTATTTTTATAGTTTCTGGAACTATTTTTCATTAAATTTGTTTTCCATGGCAATTCGAGAAATCCATTCTTGCAGTGCGTTTCAATTCCAGTTTGAAATGAAAACTAAAGAAAAAATTAATTTTCAAATCTTTTGAAAAGAAATGAAAGAACTGAAATTTTGAACGCAATTTAAAGTCAGTAAGTCAGTTAAATCTATTTAAACAAGTCTGTGTTCAAGATACCGTCTCAAATGAAAATAAGTTTTAACCCATACTCCGCTAGTGCCATTTTTATCAACAATTAGATGGTGAGGAAAGGAATATTAGATGGTGAGGAAAGGAATATTAGATGGTGAGGAAAGGAATATTAGATGGTGAGGAAAGGAATATTAGATGGTGAGGAAAGGAATAGTCCACTTATACTGGGCTACCCACAAAGAATGAGACTGTAAAGACGACTCAAAACCTTAAAAATATGACGATTTGAAGTTTTATTTTTGGCTTCTGCCTTCAATTGAGTATTCTGATGGTTTACTAAATGATAAACAAAGAATTAAGTAAGTTTTGGCCTACAAGGAACCCTTAATGCAAGAAAACGGACTTTGCAAATTTTGTACAATCGTCTCTGAAGTCTCATTCTTTGTGGGTGACCCTGTAACTTTGAAAAGTAAGAAGCGGGAGAGGTTTTGATATTCTTCGGAAAAAATTTAGAAGAATATTCTGAATCGTTTCTATTTTGATTTAGTTGATTTAGCACTTTTTAGACTATAAGTCTACCGTCATCACTATCGTGATCTATTAGATTTTTAGAAATATTTTGCCCATGATGAAAATGGTTCTTCTGAAATTTCGGTGTGCGTCAGAAATATATAAATGATTAAAAATTCTGAAAACCTTCCTGATTATTTTCTAATTTTTCATGTTTACCAATTCTTGTCAGAAAACACGTCAGTTTTATAGAGGGATTATAAGGGGATTGTTAAAGGATTGTAATGAGATTGTAAGAGGATTGTAAGGGGAATGTTAAAGGATTGTAATGAGATTGTAAGGGGATTGTTAAAGGATTGTAAGGGGATTGTTAAAGGATTGTAATGAGATTGTAAGGGGATTGTTAAAGGATTGTAATGAGATTTTAAGGGGATTGTTAAAAGGTTGTAATGCGATTGTAAGGGGAGTGTTAAAGGATTGTAATGAGATTGTAAGGGGATTGTTAAAGGATTGTAATGAGATTGTAAGGGGATTGTTAAAGGATTGTAATGAGATTTTAAGGTGATTGTTAAAGGATTGTAATGCGATTGTAAGGGGAGTGTTAAAGGATTGTAATGAGATTGTAAGGGGATTGTTAAAGGATTGTAATGAGATTGTAAGGGGAGTGTTAAAGGATTGTAATGAGATTGTAAGGGGATTGTTAAAGGATTGTAATGAGATTGTAAGGGGAGTGTTAAAGGATTGTAATGAGATTGTAAGGGGAATGTAAGGGAATTTTTTAATTTTAAGTTTAATTAATTAAAAATGCAAAGGATAATTTAAAACTAAGAGCACACCTATACTACGTACTGCCTTGAAATGTTCCTATTTTTAGCTGCAAAAAAAATCAGTGATAATTTATAAAAGGCCGCGCGACACTTCAAAGTTTGACCAATCTTAATAGTTGATCCATAACTGTGAGGGAAATTTAAGCTTCTGAAAATAATTCGAGTTTAGACCTGGCTGCACGTTTTTATCAATTCAATTGATTTATTGTTTCAAAATAATTCTGAACTGTTAGAAACATTGGTTCTTAGATATTTGAAGAGATTCGACTTACCCTTTGAACAGTTTTGTCCGTAAACCAATTTTTTACGATTTTAAAAAACTGAAGCTTTAACTGTGCTGTAATATAATCTGTAAAAACATCGCTAATTTTTGTTTTATGTTTTCTTTCCTTAAAATTAAAAATATTTCTTTCAGGTTTTATGAAAAAGTGGTTCGTTGGTTTCAAAGGAGAGGAAGAAATCTACCAACCGAGACCTTTCCTTCAGAGAAGCACTGTAATGTTCACCATAGTGCAGTTCTAGCTACGCCCCATCTAGTTCAAAAATCCAGCCCAAAACCATCTCTTAAATCCACGGTTTCTATTCTCAAACAACCCAGTATAGTTCAAGTTAAATCATTCTCCAGAGATAACTCCCTGGCTACATCTGAGGGTACATCGAGCATAAGATCTGTTGGGCCAAGTCCTCAGCGAATGATTTGCCAGGAACGGATCAGTCCTGGCCATCCGTCGCATAGCAAGGTTCGAGGAGCTCTCTCCAGTACCACGAGTACCTTATCCTCAGGTTCAGCTACAGCTCCTGCTTGTAACAACGGGCAGAGTATGGAGAGTGGATATTATTCCTTCTCAACCTGCTCCTCCCCTGCAGTTTCAGTGGGACGACATTCTCCGTCCTTCTTTAAGAGAGACAGGAGATCTAGGTTTAGGTTTCTTTCCCGAGCCTTAAAAATAGTGAAGGGGAAGGGGAAAAGTTTATCTGAAGAAGTTCCCGAGGTGAAAACACGAGAAGAGATCTGGAATGTACGTTCTATTGAAGATAATGTTGCAGATGGGAAGAGAAGATTGTTCCAGAGTAAACAGTCAATGTTCCACTCTGCAGTAGATGAAGAGGAGAACATAGAGATGAGATGTTCCAGCAGAGCAAGTTCTTCTTACAACAGCAGCGTTTTCTCAGGCAGTTTAAACTCACTTTCTCACTCAGATACTCACGAGATGGTGGCTCTAACCCTGGGAGACTTTAGGTTCAAGTACAGTGAACTTGAGTTTCATCATTCTCTCACATCCGGCTCAGGAGGTCAAATTCACACTGGTAAATGTCAGGTTTGGGACGTCAATATCCACAGTTCTGTTCCTAAGAATGATGAGGAGGTTCGGGAATGGCTCTCTGATGTAAGACGCCTCACACAGATCCGTCATGAGAATATAGTTCTCTACATGGGAGCTTGCGTTGAACCTCCCAAGTTTGCGATAATTACAAGTTTGATTAACTGTGAGTCTCTGTACGCACACACCGTGTTTCAAGGTTCCAGGTTGAGAGCTACCAAGAAGCTGAGTATTCTCAGACAAACAGCAAACGCTCTCTCATACTTACACTGTAAAGGGATTGTTCACGGACGACTGTCGTCTCATAATATATTTTTAGAGACAACAGTCAAAGTTTCCCTGCTAGACTACGGATCCTCCTCTCTTAATCTACAGTTCTATAGTCCTGAGATAGTGAGAAATATAACGTCAGACGACAGGTCTGTTTGGGAAAAATCCAAGAAAGGAGACGTCTTTGCTTTCGGATCTGTGATTTATCAGCTCTCCACTCAGAAACTACCCCTGGATAACCATCCGTCCCAGACCGTACTCTATCAAATGGGACTCGGATATCTGGCAAAACATCTTCCTTCGGCTCATCTTAATCCAGGTTTATCCAGGATCATTGATGGGTGCTGGAACCAGGACCCGGAGAAGAGACCAACCTTTCCAGAGCTCTGTCGCCAACTTCTACCTTTGCTCAACTCAATCGGAGCCCGGAGACATTCTCTAAGTGAACCCAGAAGTCTGGATAAAGTTGGACAATCCGAACCACCAAGGTTTTTGTATACGGAGAAGCATAAACTCTAAAAAGCATAGAGTTGCGTTTTCATTTTTTATCATACATTTTTTTACAAAAGCCTATTTTGCATACAATGTGTAAAGACACCCCTGGATAACCAGAACCATGTCATACCAAATTATACCAAAGATTAATAAGGAAAAGTGATGTATAACAAAATCAGTCAAATTGTGATAATACGAAACTGTTCCGTTTGTTGTATAAACTGTTTACTTTAAAGTCACCCTTAAAGGGTGGATGATTTCTCGAAACATGATAAAACAAAATTGTAAAGATAATTTTTGTAAATTGTCAAGTGTATTTTTTCTTGAAAGTAACTATAAAACGCTTGGTTAACTGTTGTACCTGTAAGCTGTATGTAAACGTACATGATTTATAAATTAGATTGGAAAATATATTTGAGTTTAAATGTTTATCGAGTTTATTGGTTTATTAGAAAGTGCTTCGGGTAGAAAAATAAAATGTTGAAGTTCATGGTCTAAAATTATTTCATCTTTATGTGCTTAACCTGTTAAAATCAATTAAAAAAGAACGCTGATGAAAAGGAGGATCTGCCCAAGTCACAACGGTACCTGGACCTAAAACCTCAATCTGATTAATAATGTGAAAGCGTCGTTTTTTTTTGGCTTGAAAACTAGATTTCGCAATTGTTGTTAAGAAGCCAGAAATGTGCAAGTCACTTTTGTAGAGAAACCACAATTATAAAAAAAAATCAGTTTTCAAAAACAAAAACATTGATATATAATTTATACTTAATCAGACAAAGTTTTAAAGGGTAAGTTTTAATCGGGCATTCGACTCAATCAATGGAGAATCAATGGAAATTACGTTTACAGTCCCTTTAATACAATTTAGAGCAAGAATTAACAAATGGGTTTTTAAACGCAGGCAAATGTTTTGTTAAGAAAGTAATTATTGAGCCTAAATTACTAGAATTGTTTATAAAACTAAAATCCTTGAATAATAGCCTGTAGACTTGTATAATAAGACGACCAAAAATTAACCTAGCGAAAAACGATCGTCTCACTTAAAAACGACGAAAAAACGAAAACGAAACGGTCGTTTTCAGAAACGATCGTTTTTCGTTTTAAAAAGACTATCGTTTTCAAACACGATCGTTTATCTTTTTTAAAAAATGGTCGTTTTTAAAAACTATAGTATTTGAAAACGACCCTTTGCTAACGAAAGTTAACGACGACCCTTCATTAACGATCGTTAAAGAAATTTCAAAAAGAAAATACATTTTTTGGTTGGACAATCCGAGGTCAGAAAACATTAAGGTTATTTGTCTCGATAAAAAAAACATATACTATTATCTTATCTTCCTGTAAAAAAAACAAATTGAAATTAATTGTTAAAAAAATCAAATAAATAAGCGACATTTTTACATTTTTTTGAAAGTTCAAAAAGGGTGGTTTGTTTTCTAAAACGATAGTTTTTTTTAAATCGAAACGATCGTTAAAAAAACTGAAAAAACTAAAATAATGCGCTCTATTTTTATTACGGTGGTAAGCAAAAATATTAATACAATGAAGACGACTTTCGATTTAAATTTTGATTTATATCAAGCTTTATAACAGCATAAATGCACAAAAAATGGAAACACAGAGAAGTTGACAGTTAAAAAAGCTTCTTAACAATAAACACCTAAATAAAAATCTCTGATCATTATGTTGGTATTATTGCCTACGACTGTATGTATGTTTAATCATTAGCGATATATTTCTGAAGGAATTACCAACTGAAATTTAGTGCAAAATGTCCAGTATAAATTATTTATTGAATCAATTTGGATCTAAAGGAAAAACATGAAAAAAAGTCATGGTAAAAATATCAACACTGAGGACACCAGGGTAAACAGACTATGATTTTCTAATCCTTATATCTTTACAATCGAATTTCGTAGTCCTGGACATGATATTTCAAAATATGAATTATGTAAGATAAACAAATATAATTTTGAAATATCAAAAGTTTCCACAATCTGGTTGCAAAGATTGAGTTTGTGGCAAAAACCATGATTTTTCTTTTTCCGCTTTTCTTGACACCGTTACTTCTACATTATCACTAAACAGTGTTTTATTCAAAAATACATCCACAGGTGGCACTGTAGCACAAATAAAAGTTGTAATCTGAACTTGACATCCACAGTAAACATTTTTAGAGCGCACCGATTAATTACTATGTATAATGTGTATTTCGTAAATATAAAGAAATTTGAATCTTCAGTTATGCATTATATCTAGAGCTGGGCAATGTTTTTGTCAACAAACACCATTTTTGAGAACAAACAAAATTTTCCGTGTCGTTTAGAAAGAAAACGAACGATGAACGTTCAAGAAAATGAAAAAAACGAAAAATAAAAGAAAACGAACGCAAACAACCGAACGACTTAAAATACCGTTTTACTGAAAGAACGATTTTATTAACGAATTATTTAAATGAACGAACGGTTTTACTGACCGATGGTTTAGTGAGAAAAGGAACGAAATAGATGTAAAATGAACGATAATTTTGAGAACGAACAAAATCTTTTTTTTTTAAACCATTGAAAAAGCTAATGAAATGGGTCGTTCACAAACGATGAACGAACGAAATGAAAAACTGGAAAACCCATCCATCTCTTTTTCTTATATCTACCTATATTCCTGACTATATGCATACAATTAGGTTAATATGTAAATACATTCATAGATTCATAGATCTAAACTCTAAATATTTTCTTTTAGGGTTCTATGGAATATTATATTTGTGCTATTTATAAATACTTAGCTTTTAGCGCCCCCTTACCTGTAAACTGTTGCTGTGAAAGTCTGCCATTTTTAATCATTTCCAAATTTTGGAAAAAAATTTTGTTTGAATTTGCGCATTTTCGAAAAAATTAAATTTTAACTATTTCCCAGGATTTTTTTCTTCCAATTTTGACGTTTCATAAACCTTCCAAGAGGTCATGTGAGGTCCCACACAAAATTTGGGCCCGATCGGTTCAGCTGCTTTGACGTTTATTGGATAAAAACGGACAGAAAAATAGACAGACATACAGATGCTCAGATGCATGAATAAAATACTATTTGATACATATTGCCTAGTAAGAAGGAAATTTTTTTTTTTCTTCACAAACTCGAACTCCCTCACCCAACACACTTTATTAGCAACATAATGCCGTAGACCTTTAGATATTTCAAACTTTGTATTCTGTTAGATCAAATAATCTAAGTTTGAAACATCATTGGAAAAGAGAGGTCATTAGAAAATTTGAGTTTGTGGCAAAACTCAATTCCTTTACATGTAAAAACTAGTTAAAGGACTTTATAGAGTGGTGTTTCAAATTCACAACAGTACCTTTCAAACGTTTGTAAGATTAGTTGGGATCACCATCGAATTCTGAATTAGTTTCAATGTTGAGTCTAAACCCTTGAATCCGCCAATTCCAACAACGAAAATCCACCAAATGTAATATTTAACCCGTTTAATACAGATAGTTTGAAAATTGTGTTATTGATTGTATGTCAAGGGTGTGACAAAAAAGAATTTGACTTTTTTAAAGTCTTTATTTCTTAAAAATTTACCTCAACATGAGGTATTTTTGGTTTGTTTAATATAATGTAATATGGACAGTATTCTTAACATGCCATCCATTTACTTATGTAAAAAAATGCAATTCACATTTTGGAATTTCCGAGACAGTGGCTTTTTGCTGTGGACTATTTAAATGTAATACAAATATAATAATCGTAATGAAAAATGTAATGGTTAGGTCGTCACATAATCCTCATGTTTATTGGAACAATAAAGAATATATTCGTCCACTTGTACATAGCGAACATAGCTAGCTCCAAGAAAGTAAGATATTATCAAAAATCAAGAGTTGAAAAAAAAATATTTTTTAAAATATTAAATAACGACGACAAAAAATAAAGTAAAAATTATACAGTAAACTAATTAGATGGTTAGGAACATATTTGTCAATAAATCAATGCTAGAATCAATTATTTCCGATGATAAGATTAATTTTTATTTTCTCAACCTGTTCCTAAGCAACTAATTGGTTTCCTGTAGAGTTTTGTTTACATTTTTTGTCTTCGTTATTTAATAATTTAAAAAAAAACAGTTATGAAAACGTTTAACGTGTCATCCACCCAAAAGTACGATTTTGAACGTCGACTTTGCGCTCAAACTCAGGATTTACAGTTCTTTAAAAAGTTTTATGTCTCAAATGAATCCTAAAGAATTTATCCACAACACTGCATACTGTCCTTTTAAACTGTCTGAAGCCGTCTAGCCATTATAATATCAAAGCACTTGCTGTGTTTAGCTTTATTTATTGTTTATAATCAATGTTTATAATTTTGAAAATGGATTATTCTTACTTGAAGTTTCTCTACCACAGTGACTTGTGCGCATTCCTACTGCAAGACTTTATATGAATTATCAAATTATCAGAATCAAAATTATTTAAACATAGGAAAGACCTTAATCAGATAAAGGTATCATTCTTAATCGGACATGGCAAGGTCACTTAAAATTAAACTTACAGTATCTTTAACCTCTAAATTTAGAGGTCTTTTTTACTGTTGCGTTGCGACACTTCAAATTTGACCCCGTCTTAAAAATTTATGATACTTTTCATAAGCAGGCTGGATCTATATGAAATATGACTTAATATATATTTTTAGATTTGATTTTTTCCTAACTATTCTTCTCAGAAAAATGTTAAAATTTAAACATATTACGCGATATTAGATAATTAGACTAAATAATATCAACTGTTGAATTAATTTTTCTAAACTAAAATTTGCAGGAGCCAAAAAGATGCCATTATTTAATGATCATACACGTGGTTCATAGCCACGTCTATAGCCTGCATCTTTATTGACCAAAAGTAGTCCGGTTGGTATCCCTGGTATTCAAATGGTATCCCTGATATCCCTGGTATTCCTGGCATCCCTGGTATCCCTGGTATCCCCGGTATCCCTGGTATCCCTGGCATTCATGGTATCCCTGATATCCCCGGTATCTCTGGTATCCCTGGCGTCCCTGGCGTCCCTGGTATCCCTGGTATCCCTGACATCCCTGGTATCCCTGGTTCCCTGGCATCCCTGGTATCCCTGGTATCCCTGGCATCTCTTGTATCCATGATATATCCCTGGTATCCCTGATGGTATCCCTTGTATCCATGATATATCCCTGGTATCCCTGATGGTATCCCTGGTATCCAGGCTATATCCCTGGTATCCCTTGTATCCATGATATATCCTTGTCAATCTAAAACTATAACTTGTTTTTTGAATTAAATTTAGACATTTTCCGATTGATCGATTGGTAATACTAAATCAATGAAAAAGCATTTAGATAGCGTTTCATGAAATAATATTATCCAAATGTAAATATATTATTATTCGCGTTTACGGAATAAGTACATATATTGAATATTTATGTAATTATATTAATAAATATAATGAATAAATAAATGAATAAATAGTGTAAACGGATTTATTCAGTTCTCCATTTATAGATATATATATCTACACACATATATGGGTAGACAAATGCACCTTGAAGTTTTGCACTGCAGTGGAACCCCCCCCCCTCCCCCGCCCCAATTTTCAAATTGGCCTGGACAAGCCGGCCTGAACTTCAGTTAGATAGACAGATAGATAAAGGAATTGATAGATAGATAGTTGAACTAGTAGTAGTCAGCTGTTATATCTCTATGCAGTAACACCCATAGACGCTCCCTGAGTTATATTAAACAAAAACATAGTTGAGAACAAATCTTTCATTTCATTAAATACCTAATATGAATAATGTGATTTATTCATAGACACAGAAATGAAAACAAACAACGTGAAAAGTTTATTAAATTAAAAATTGATATTTTTTAATAAAAGTCTATTTTCATAAAGGCAATTACTTTATTAATTCATGATCAATACTACATTAAAAACATTAAAGGGACCGTTCACTTATTTGGGTAATTTCAAAAAACAATTATTTGACAACATTGATATATTATAACAATTATATTATAACATTAATTTAACAATTATTTATTACATAAATATAACAATTATAGGCAATTATATTTAGTCAAATTTTTTTTGGGGTAAATTAAAATTTAAATATGGACATTATCCCACAAATAAACAATCTGTAAGTTGGAAAAATTTGTGAAAGTTATTTAAGTTATGGACAATTAATATATTTTAAAACATAAGTAAGATTTAATTTTTGTTATTTTTTTTACTAAACTGTTTGAATTCTGTTTCTCGATTGAATTTTAATTAGCCTTTAATATTAAAAAGAAATGATTAATTGAACATTTTCCAAGATTATCGATTATTTCATGGGGTACAAAATATTAAATTAAAAATTAATCATACTCTGTACAATCTGTGCCATTTATTGTTTACCTCTATGCAAAGTTAACCATTCTTTAAGCTACAGTGGCCAGCGTTAATTTCAATAATATGAAGACGACTTTTATTCTTAAGTTTTGATTCCTAACAGGCTTTTTTAAAATTTTAAGTTTACAAGAAAACAAAAAAAACTGTTTATTGGCAGCGTCTTTTTTGTTTTTGTTTCCATGTTTATGTGTTTTCAATATCTATAAATGATGTTATATAAAATTCGTCTTCATTGTATTGATATATACGACGACGACAGTATGTCGTGGTTCTTCGTTTTCTTAAAACTTTTTTTTTAGAAACCTTTCAAGATTTTAAAACTGTATATTTTGTTTTATTAAACTATTTTTATCGGTACTAGTACAAACGTCGGACGGTACAAACATTAGACTTACAAACGTCGGACAGTACAAACGTTGGACCAGGACAAACTTCGGACTAGTTCAAACGTCGGACTAGTAAAAACTTCGGACAGTACAAACGACGGACCAGTACAAACGTCAGACCAATACAAACGTCGGACTAAGGAAAAAATAATTTTTTTAAAAAGGTTATTTCGTTTTATCCACTGGTTAATAAAATCTACCAAAAATTAATGAGTTCTTGTCACTATCTCAAATATTCTCATCCCTAAATCTTTGCAACCTGGTAATGGTAACCTTTAATACTTTCAAACTTAAACTGTTTGGTCTTATAGATTTCATAGGTTGAAATATTAAAGGTTATACGAAAAATATATCCAAAGATAAAGGCATATTGGAACATCAGAGTTTGTGAAAATTGAACTCAACTCCTTTTTGGTCAATTGTTTTATACAGTGCCACAACCTTCAAAGGATGAGACTTTATCCAATTTATTTTTATGACAATAAGTGAGATATTTTTAATTTATTTCTTATAGCAATGGTCTTTTTTAAAACTCAACCAAAGTCCGACGTTTTTTCTTATAAATGCACCCGTCCGACGTTTGTACTGGTCCGACGTTTGTACTAGTCTGACGTTTGTCCCAGTCCGACGTTTGTTCCAGTCCGACGTTTGTAAGTCGAACGTTTGTACTGTCCGACCTTTGTAACGTCCGACGTTTATGGGTCCGACGTTTGTACTGGTATACCTTTTTATCCTAAAAAAATATTGTAAAACTTTTGAAAAACAATCGTTAGAACGCTTTCGTTCTTAGATCATTTATGGATTGTTTTGGTTCCTTGTTTTGCATTGATCTTCTGTCAGGGTTAGAAAAGGGAATGATGTAAAAAAAGAAAATGTTTAAAATAATAAAGTTTTAAAACATTTGCTGTCTTTTCACTATGCAAAATTTTAAATATATAAAAAATAAATACAAGAAACGAACCAGTTATAGCTGTGAATTGTCTGGTCTCTATGATTTTGTTTTTCATTAAAGCTTTAAATTTAGATTTTCTTAGTAATATACAGTGTACTGTGTACTTTTAAATAACTTGCAATAGTACTATATTGCTCTCAAATAGAATTTGAGAGCTTTGGACGATATATACTATTTCAGATATCAGCGTACATAAAATGCTTTTGGACGAAAAATGAGATTTGTTTGACGAATTAAGTGCTTCTGATCCTTTTCATAAAAAAATTCATAATTAGAGGTGCAAATTTTTTTATTTTTTTTTGTGCTGCTTTTTTATTTTTTAAGTGAGGGTTCTTGAAAAATTAAAGTTGATTTTGACCATAATTTAATTATTAAACAATTGGAAACTCTTTTGTTTTAAATTTTAATTAATTAAAAGTAAAAAAAGGACCAATTAATGCATTATATGAACATAGTTCCTTTCTTAAACCATGGATATATAATAGATGGATGTATCATAGTCAAGGTTTGATGTAATTTTTTTCGCTGGGGTGTTATGCAATACGTTAGACATTGGACCCTGGAACTTACAATTTGTCTTTGGTTTTCGTAAAGTTAATAGATGTCAAAGGAGTGTAGAAAAACATTGCAAGTCTTTAAAACTTGATAAGATTTAGCCTCTTTTTTTGTATTGTAAAAATTGTTGGAGATTTAAAGATTTAAACAACCTTGCTGATATTTATTATTTTGAATTTTACACAAATTTCTCAATATATTTCTCAATATCTTGGTCAATTCTGAAGGTACAAAAACGGCAGACCACATTTTTGAATTCTGAAAACAAGGTGCCTTTGATACTACCAACTCTTTAAAGAAAATGCTATGATCACAAAATGTTAGCTACAGTATCTCATTTATGCTTACTCCAGGGCCCACTATCTACCTATCTTCTCTAATTTGGACACTAAACTTCACTTCAAATTTTTTTAAAAGTACAAATTATTTTATAGAATGAACAATAGCCAGAATAAAAATTTGTTATAGTAAAACCTAAAATTTGCTATGCAGAGGTTTTAGAAATTTCCTAAAAATATCTAGGGTCCACTGAGATGCGTAGCCCACCGACAGTTACATGTACACTAGCCCAGAATAGTACAGATCGGTAGATAAAAGCATACATATAAGCGGGCCGTGTCTTAAACCCCCTCTTTTTCAAGGATTTCCAAAAAATATGTTCGTAATTGGATGTAATTTTTTATTGTATACTGTATAGGCAATGCGAAGAGAAAGAATGAGAAGAGGAAAGGGTTTGTTTACATTTTCGCTGGAACAAGTTTTATTGTAAACAATAACAAAGATTGTAAACATGAATCTGTATTGTAAAGCAGGGTATGGGACCGGGTTTAAACAATCATCTTAAATTATTGTTGTTTGTTTTTAATGAAACTAGTTTTTGTTGTGTTAGTAAACAGTATTATGTAAATAAACTCTATCCCCCTCTTCTTAGTATTATCTTACGTTGATTTAACAGTTCGGTCCTTATACCAGCGTCCAGCACGGTGTGACTTTCGATCACACTTTGACCGAATTAAACAGCAGTTTTCAGCTTTCTCTCATACCTTCTTTTCCACGGACTCGTTATGAATGGAAAAGATTTAATAGACAACATCGTAAAGTTTAAGATTGTTTAATTATGGACAAAAACACGATTAAATTGAAATTGAGAAAACCAAGAGTACTTGGTAACCTCATTTATGCTAAATACTTAGTACTTATTTATGCTAAATAAATAGATTGAAACACGCGGGTCAAATAATGTTTAGAATAAAATTAAATGTTTTAATTCCAGAACTGAAACATTAAATAAAAAAATTCCGGAAAACTAAATTAAATTATTCCTCTGCACGAAGCTAAACTGTGAACTTTTAAAACAAATATTTTAAATATTTAAATAAACATTAAATATTTACGTCTTATTTACTCGTCAAATGATCCCCTGAAGTGACTTTAGTCGTTATTTCAAGGCAGCCCTTGGTTTTAAACAAGAGCATGTCAGATTTACTACGGATCCCTTTAAACCTTTATGTTGCCAATAATATTGCAGACATTGGCATTTTTCAAGTATGAAAGTGTTAAATTTTTATAATTTCCTTCCATTAGTCCAGCAGGAGAAATGCGCAAGTCACTTTATAAAAACCACAATCGAAAAAAATTAACTTTAAAGGTGTACAAATGAATTTCTCTGAAATTCTTGACGAGACAAAGCTTTAAAGGGCAATGTTGTTAAACGGGTTTGCCACTTTATTATTTGGACATCATTTAAAATTACGATTATCTTCTTTTAAAAAATCAGAACACCTTTTAATGCTTTCATCGAAAAAAAAGAAGGAATTTGATCCCTATATCTATGCAACCTGGCGTTGTAAATCTTTGATATTTTAAACATAGATTTTTTGATCCAGCAGAATTCATAGTTTGAAAAAGGTAAGGTCTACGACATTGGGTTGTAAGGATAAAAGGGATTACAAACTCAGAGTTTGTGGCAGAAACTCAACATATTTCAGGAAACACCGTGGAATTATAAAATGGCCCAAGTTTTAAAACCGGCGTTAGAGCAGCTCAGCAACTATATTATAGGTAAGCTATACAGATTAAACAGTTCAATCCTTGTCCTAGCAAACTGTCAGCTTCGATCACAATTTGACCAAGTAAACACCCTTTTATACTTATATGTCGTTTCTGTGAATCAGTGAGATATAACCGACCAAAAAAGTTTAGATTGCTTACTTCTACTTTGGTTTGCAGTAAAATTAAAAGATGGTTAAACTATAGAACAAAAATTGATTAAAGTAAACATGTAACATACAGCCGGAACTGGGTCGACTTTGAAGTGTCGCAACGCCTTGGGCTTTGATTTTACCGCTCTAACTCATACAGCCTTTTGCACTGTAAAGCTTTTGTTTTTAAGATGTAATTGGCGAAACTCTGAAGAGCCCGATACCTTTAAATGACAGTGATATTATGAATCTATCATAGAAAAACATACACAAACAATCTGCATCCCTCATGATTTCTACCGTAAAATTATTTGACATTTTTTGTCTTTTAAAATAGATGACCAATTTCTTTAATGTTATTTACGTATATAAAGTAGTGATCTCTGTTTGTTTGTTTAGATGTGCAATCATAACTCATGAACCTCTGGACCAATTTCCCTCAAAGGAATTGCGTCTTTGCCACAAACTCTGATTTTCTAATCCCTCTATCTTTGGACCCCGATGTCGTACACCTTTGATATTTCAAACTTATTTTATTTAAAATGTCAAAGGTCTACGTCATTGGGTTGCAAAGATATAGGGAAGGGCAAATCAGAGTTTGTGGCAAAGACTCAATTCCGGAACTCGGTAGAATCTTGGGATAAGTGGAACAGTTTGACTTTTGTAGAGAAAACTTAGTTATTTCGGGCAACGCTGGATTTCCAAGCTAGTTAAAAATATAATTCAATATCAATATATTGTGCTAATGTTTAGTTGATATTGGAGCAAACCTGACAAACAAGAAGTTTTCTCGGGATCTAGATCAGGTCATACAGAGAGCTACAGATGCAGGTTAGAAAATTAATTTTTAAAAAATTTTAAGTGCATGGAAAATCTATTTTTCAACTAATTGTACAGTATGGTTTTCTTTTTAAAAATTAATATACATATTCGAGGATTAAAGATTGGTATTTGAATTTTTGGAAAACAATTTATAGATAATTTTATCCAAATCTTTTCGGGGATTTTTGACTTTTTCAATTCATTCTTCATCTAAAAATATGAATAGAATTTAACGATAAATCATTCGACAATAGCCCCCTTTTTCTGCAATTGCTTGAAATTTTATTAATAAGAATAAGAGTAATATTAAATAGAATCCAGATGTATATAGAGTTCAAATATTTGCTGTTGTAGAGATATCAAGATTCTATGAATTTGTGAATTTAGATAAAATTCAGATTTACGTATTTACTTTATTTCGGGAATTAAATTTTTTTTACGAAACTCATAAGTTTTGGAGACAATTTTTTGTAATTCTGAGCATTTTTAAACCTTCCCTGGCGAGGTCTCACACAAAATTTGGGCCCGATCGGTTCATATTTTATCTCTCATCAAAAATGGCATGGCGTAAGAGAGCGTATATACTTTCAGAGATCCAGACAACTGTTTTTCATTTTTATTGAATAAAAAAAGCACTCTAAAAGAATGTACACATTTATTTTTCTGACTAACATACCCTGTTTAGTGTTTACTACAGTGAAACTCTTAATAACGAATACATCGAAAGAATTCATCAAATGTCGTATTCTGTCGTATCTGATAATGGAATGTTGCAGATATTTAGTTTTTTAATTAAATGATTATATGGAACTCTTTAAAACTTTTCCCGCATATTCATGGCTATTTATTTATTTTCGCAAATACTGAAATTTACGTAATATAGTATAAAACTCATTGAAAAATTGTCAAGACGACATTTGATAAATTCTTCCGATGTATTCGTTATTAAGGGTTTCATGTTATTTAAATCTCATTGCTAAAGGGAACTGAGTGTCTATGCGGCGCCAAAAACTGTGATTTTCTAATTCATCCATTAATTGCATCCCAATGACGTAGACCCAGGTCGGTCGAGTTGGTCAAACGCAACCTTAGATGTTTCAAGCTAAAAATTCTATCAAATCCAATAGTCTAAGTTTGAAATATCAAAGGTTTACACCATTAGAGTGAAAATATATTGGAATTATAACGAAAGAGTTAGTGGGATGGGTTCATTTAAAAACACTTTGCTCGTTTCATCCTTGTTTTGTCCCTTTAAAGAGCTTCTATTGAACTAACGGATATTAACGAGAATACGAACTATCCTTTATAAATATATAAAAATAAGTATACCTCCTTAATTTAAAGCGGAAACTTACTTGAAAAATCCACAAACACCGCAAGGAATTTAGATTAAAAACAAAAAAAAGGACGGGGTTTTTTACAATATGCTGCAGTGAAAAGAAAAATAATTTGTGCATTTTTGAAATTTTTCTCGTTTATATCATTCTAGGGGGAATTGTTTAGAACAAAAAGTCTACAAGTATTAAAATATTTATCAAGGAATAACTAGCTCTAAATGGTGTCAGTATATGTATAAACAAAGAATATCAAAGATCAAAAGAAAGTCAGAAATAAAAGTTTTAAATTAAATCAAATAAAAATGTAATATAGTGATTTATATTGAAAATAATCGAGAAACTACTTAATTTAAAGCACTCCAACATTCATCTTTTACGTTAACGAGAATATAAAGGTCTCAGTACTTTCCATTAGGTCAGGCACGTTAACGAGAATATAAAGGTCTCAGTACTGTCCATTAGGTCAGGTACGTTAACGAGAATATAAAGGTCTCAGTATTGTCCATTAGGTCAGGTACGTTAACGAGAATATAAAGGTCTCAGTACTGTCCATTAGGTCAGGAACGTTAACGAGAATATAAAGGTCTCAGTACTGTCCATTAGGTCAGGAACGTTAACGAGAATATAAAGGTCTCAGTACTGTCCATTAAGTCAGGCACGACATGAAGATGCAATTTACAGATAATAAGGATACACGCTTTTGGAAATAAGGATGGAATACCAGATACAGGATACATGAAAAAACGATACAGGATACAGAGGACATACGAATGTTGGATACATGGCATAAAGATATAAGACAAACATTGAAGGATACAGTAACAGAATTAAGACATGATGCATGCAGGATATATTGTGGATATATTATGGTACTAAAAATACACGAGAGAAGGATATTGGATAAAATATTTAAAGATACAGAATTCAGATGATATAAGAATACAGGATAAAAGACGTAAGGAAGGATAAAGACTAAAATATTTAAGGATGTAAAGTAGGGGCATACTGTATAGATATCCCGTATATAAAGGGTAGAGACGGATTGTAGTGGAGGATTGGTTGGGGAGGAATGGGGGAGGTCGCGAGGCGGATTGTATCAAGAGATGGGTTGGGGAGGAAGGGGGAGGGATAGGTTGAGGAAAGGGATGAATGAGAGAGGAAAGGGGAGGGACGGATTGTGATAAAGGATGGGTAGAGGAGAAAAAGAGGGAGGCGGATTGTATTCAGAGACGGGTCGGAGAGGAAGGGGGAATTCACTGTAAATATTCCCCCCCCCTCTCCTCCCACTCCCCTCCCATATAAATTCCTTCAAAGATATAACACCCTTTAATTTCCCGAATATTACACTTTTGACATCTTATCCTTTAAACTACAGTGCAGTGAGAGCAAATCTCCAGAGATTATAATCAATTCTAAGTAATATTTTCAATCGTAATTAATGTACATATTTTACAAAGTGCATTTACTAATCCCTATATCGTTGAAACCTGATGGTATAAACCTTTGATATTTCATACTTTGATCACTACTGTTTTGAAATATCTAAGGTCTACAACATCGGATTGCAAAAATTTCTTTTCAATTTCTTTCGCTCACCAAACCTGACTGTAAGGGATTACGCTATCCTAAACTTGAACATTTAAAAAACAAAGTTCGTTTAAAAAAGTTTGGTGTACATCATTAATTTTTCATAATTCTCCTTAAATATTTGTTTTTATTTTAAAATGCAAATATTTAAATGCGCAACCACTCTCCGATAAAACCCACTATTTCTTCGGTAAACGTACTGCATATCACTGCAGTACGCATAAAAAGCTTAGTTTATGGTGTAGAAAATATATATATAGGGATACCCTCAAAGGTTGAAACATGGGTGACGACCTAAAACTCTTGAAATAAAATTACAGCTGCTAGAAATCATGATTTTTTAAAAGAAAAACTATTTGATTTTGGTAGATTGTGTATGCTGATCATTTATATATATTGAACATATATTGTATATGGATATATATGTATATATCGTATATATTTTATATGTATATATGTATATATTATATATATATTGTATATATGCTCGATCATGTCTATAACAAGTCCAATGTTTAAATTGAAATAAATTGTTTAGTTTTATTTCAAGGGTACCATTAACAGTAGATAAATTTGCTTTAATATGATTCTGACAACGTAAAAACTGCAACAAATTGTTGGAAACCAGGAGATTCAAGAATGTTCAATTTTTGTTTTACTTCGAAGGGGTTATTTTCAGCTCAGCATACTTTTTTATGTTTTATATTACAAATTTCGATTTTAAAAGAACTTTTGAAATTGAAATTTCGCTTAAAATTAAACTCTTATACTGCGTTGTGAGTATAATAGACGTTGCGAATTGTTTGCACATTTTAAACGTTGGTTACAGATTTGAAATAAATTTTTGTCTAAAAATTGACAAAATCTTATGCGTATAGTTTTTTTGAATCATGGACTATAGAGCAGCATATTTCTCTTGCTCCGGTCTATCGGAGGAGACCGGAGTGAAAAATATTCACGCAACCTCCCACCGGAGTATTCTTGGAGAGGAATACACAAAGATAGGGATTTCTTTTTAACTTAGAAGTTTCTCATATTTCAATTTAGTAAATTTCTTGTAAAAAAGATATAAAATCATTACTAAATGTAATGCTCATAACAGCACCTTCTTCAGTTTGTTCAACAGTTTGTTTTATACCAAAAAGTGCATTAAACATTCTCAATAAAATTTAAATTTTTTACTTGTGGTCTCCAATGAAAACTTCGGGCTTTCATTTAAAAATTTTACTTAGTTTTTTCGTACTTAAAAAAATTCACACTTTATATGAATACTTATCGTTTATTTGCTTAATAGGGTAGTAATTGCAGTATTTTCTGCATCTCATGGGACGGNTTTAATGGTCTAAGTAATCAGAAGAAAAGGGAAGCTGTTGCGTGGTTTTTTTCTCTTCCGGTAGGAGGTTGCGTGAATATTTTTTACCCCGGTCTTCTCCATCGATAGACCGTTCCGGGAGCGAGAGAAATATGCTGCTACTATCTTCCAGCACTCAGCTTTTTCACATTTTAAACATTAATAGATTTGAAATTTTAATTGTTTTCAAAATTCATACATTCTTATACTCTCAAAAGAGTATAAGCAGATATATTTAACCTTGGTAGTTTTGAAATTGAATTTTGTTCAAGTTTGAGAAACTCTGTTAACTGTTAACTGTATGCTGTGTATAGGAGTTACCAAGATGATGGTTACCGGCACCTCACTCCACTCAACCAAGGAGGCACTCAGGCTTACCAGACTATACCCAAACACATTGTATTCTACAGCAGGTAGATAGATAGACAGATAGATAAAGGAATTGATAGATAGATAGTTGAACTAGTAGTAGTCNAGATAGATAGATAGATAGATAGATAGATAGATAGATAGATAGATAGATAGATAGATAGATAGATAGATAGATAGATAGATAAAATGTCTACAATATTTTCAGGAGTCCATCCGCACGATGCGAAATCTTGGGAAGAGGATACATACAGGTGCAATAAATTCATTAATTATTCTTTTTATCAACTGATAAAAAGAGATTTTTTTGCTACAACTTTAAAATCGCAGTTTAACCTCTCAATATTTATAGAGTTTAACCCGAAACTTCGGAGACATCGAAAGAAAGAATTTATAAAGTGTTGTCTTGACAATTTTTTGATGGGTTTTGCACTTCTATCCCTAAATCTCAGTAATTGTTAAAATAAATAAATACCCATGAAATATGCAGGAACAGTTTTTAAGAGCTCTTCTTAATTATTCCATTAAAAACTATTTATTTGCAGCATTCCATTATCAGAAGGTTACAAAAATTACATTATGTCTCCGAAGTTCTAGGTTAAACTGAATGAAAACATTAATTAATTAAGCAATTGTTACTCAAAAATGTTTGTACTTCAGTGAATTAGCAACTGTAGCTGCTTCAAGTGAATGTGTAGCTGTGGGTGAATGTGGTCTTGATTTTAACAGGAAACCTTCTTAAAATAAATTTTATATGTAAGATTATTTTTTGTCAACTGTCAATGTTCACAATTTATTTACGTCTTTTTTATATAACCATCAAATATAACAAATTTTAATTTAGAATTTAGTTTTTAATAGAATCTTGTTTTAACAATACTCGGGTTCTAGTAATCTTTAAAGGAGTTAGATTAATATTTTAAATATCAATTATTTAGAAGAAAAAAATATAAGAAATGAGAAAATTTCATAATCTTTAAAATTTTGGACAATTTAAAGAAGTTTGTTTAGAAATTTTTCCCCTCCTGAGGTGCAAATCTCAGTTTTTGAAAAACAGGTGATTTTATCAATATTAGGGGTTGTCAGGGGTACATTATCTTTAACAGGTGATTTTATCAATATTAGGGGTTGCCAGGGGTACATTATCTTTAAACAGGTGATTTTATTAATATTAAGGGTTGCCAGGGGTACATTATCTTTAAACAGGTGATTTTATCAATATTAGGGGATGTCAGGGGTACATTATCTTTAACAGGTGATTTTATCAATATTAAGGGATGTCAGGGGTACATTATCTTTAAACAGGTGATTTTATCAATATTAGGGGATGTCAGGGGTACATTATCTTTAAACAGCTGATTTTAAAATTTTTTACTTTAAAAATCATTTTTTTCGTAATTCGAATTTGTTTTTTATTTCACGATCAACGCGGACAGCTAGTATAAACATATTTATATGTTAGCTATAGCTGGCCAAACGTTCAATTGGTTGACATTATTTGAGGATACCAATGGGCACCCTAGGGATAAAATTAGATTTTTTAAAAATTCCACGGGCAACGTCGGACACTTCAGCTAATAACTTTTATTAAGAGTGCATTACAAGATTAAACTAAACTGTCTGTTTTAGACGGACATTTTCAATTAAAAGCGAGGAAATATAAACATCTGAAATTTTTTAAATTTTTAAAAATTAAAAGTTTGTAAAAATAATTAAATTTTTTTTTGTAGTCTCAAGCATAGTGCAATTTTTGGGTACTTGAAGCAATTTTTTATACGGTGGGACTCTTGAAACTGAGGAATAGGAAGACGACCATAAACAACCTTCTGTAAATTTGATGTTGTTACAGAGAAAAAAAATTTCAGTGGCTTAATTATTATCTTTAAAGTAAAATGAGTCTGTATTTACTATTTAGTATACACTGCACAATTGCTGTGTTTTATATTCAACGTTATTTGAACTCTTTAAAATCTATAACTTAAGTCTGACAGTCGTTTTCCTCCAAATTATTTAAACAGGTTCAAAGTCATTTTGAATTGACCCAAAAAATCCCTAAACTAAACTGCAACTATTGTTTTAGGTTGAGCTGGCCTGTACCCTGGGTAAACCTTTATTTCTTCATGAACGAGATGCCCATGAGGCAATGGTGAAAATCCTGGAAAAAAATATTCACAGGTTTCAGATTTTTTAATATCTTCCTTAAAGGGAGTGACTGGCAATGTATGGTAGTTGAGCTGAAAATGTAGTATTGTGGAAATTTTTTTAGGAATCATTTGAGACATATAAATCGTTTCCACAATATATACTTACTGAGTTTGAGCGCAAAGTCGATTTTATTTAAATCACTAAATAAAGACGACGAAAAATGTAAATTTTACATCATGATAGAATAAATTATTTTGTTTTCACCATTATATTTAATTTCTCTTCCTTTACAAATTTGTTTGTTTTGCAGATTTCAACAAATGCTTGGTTGGTTGTTTGGTTGGTAGATTGACTTATTAGATGGTTTTTTTGGTTGATTGATTGCCTGGTTCGTTTGTTAGTGAGTTATTTGATTGATTGATTGATTTAGACTGCCTGCCTGTGTTATACATTGTTTTACTGGAACTAAAGAACATGCAGCTAAATATCTAGAATTAGGATGTTATATTGGACTTACAGGTAGAGTTATCTACAGGGTTAATCACAAACAAGATAATTTAAATGGCGTCCTAAGCTAATTATGTATGAAAAAAGTTCAATTTTTAACTTGTTCTTTATTTGGTAAACTTCATGAAAGAAATAAGTAGATGAAGGAAACCAAGAATGCCAAAAAAGGACTTAATAAATTTTACACAGTCTCATCCTTTGTGGGTCCTTTGTGTGTAACCCTTTCATTTAAAGCTATTTTACTGCTCAATCACATTAAGCTTCCTAGAAGATGTACATTCCTGTTTTGCTCTATAGCACTGACAAGTCGTGTCAGAAGTTAAAATGACCCGGAGTTTTCAGTTCACCAAGAATTAGAGATTGGTCCAAGCATAATATTTATTTCTTATTACTGGATATCTGGAGAATTCTGAACTAAATCTCAAGGTTAACCAAGAAATGCAAAGAAGAAAAGTTTTAAAATGTCCGGGGTATATATTTTGAACAATTTTCCAGAAATGTTTGATGGTATTGAAAGAAAAAATATTTTGAATAATATTCCCTCGAAAAATGTTGGTGAACATTTTTCCTATTATTCTATTGTTCTTAGTAAAAATATCAACAAGCTTTTTTTTTAAAAAAATGGAGGGCAGGTAGAGGACAGGTGGTGGAATACTTTTTATTTATTTCTTTTATTTTCGGCCAGATGAAGGAATTAAGTCTTTACCACAAACTCAACTTTTCTATTTGACGATGTAAACCTTTGATATTTAAAACTTAGAATGTTGGATCTAACAATATTCATATTTATAACTATCTCAGGTATACATTATTGGATTGCAAAGATGAAAGATGTTGTGATGTTGTGGTAAAGACTTTTGGATTCAGCATAAATTATCTAATGATCAAAGAAATAAATAAACCAATGTCTAAGTTATCTATGGAATAAATAAACCAATGTCTAGGTTATCTATGGAATAAATAAACCAATGTCTAGGTTATCTATGGAATAAATAAACTAATGTCTAGGTTATCTATGGAAGGATAAATCTGAGGACGGAGTAAGAAAATTACTGGAAGATGGAGCTATACCACTAGGAAACCAAACAGTAAAGAAAGTGTCCCCCCATCATACTCTTCTAAAAAAAGAACTTTTGCAAAAAAAAGAGATATTATAAAAATTTTCTCATTTCTGAATGGTTCATCAAGTTATAGGATAAAAATAAGCGAAAAAAGTAAAACAAAAAATTTGAAAATTATTTTTAGTTAAAAAAATTCAGTAAATCTTAAAGAAATGACCTGGATCCGGATCTGAATCCGGATTTGGATTCGAATCCATTTTTTCCAGTGCGGATCCAGGATCCGGATCCGGATCCGCATTAAAATTAAATATCCTAAGCATTGATTGCAACATGATGGAGTTAACCTTTGATATGTCAAACTTAGACCATTGTACCTAGCAGATTTTGTATTTTCAAATATCAAATTACCTGAATCTATATCTATAGTGTATAGTGTACTGTATAGTGTATAGGCTATGTGGAAGAAAGTTAAATTTATGAAGAATTGCTGGTATAGCTTTGCGACAAAGTAACTCTTCTAGTTTTTATGTTATGCCCAACAGTGATAACAGCAAAATTGTATAGTGAAAGTTTTAAAGACATAAAGACAACATTTTTTGTCTAATCATCAGCTCTTTAGAAAAGAAGTTATGTTTGAAAATATCTTGATTACAATCTAAAATATATTAAACACTTGCTTCAGACCCCAAATATCTTAGTCTCATAGTTTTGCAACTTGATGTCGTAGACCAGAAACCTGTTCTTTTTTAAAAACTATGAATTTTACCTTACAACATTATTAAAGATCAAAGGTTTAAACCATAAGGTTCGCAAAGATAAGGGATTAGAAAATTAGAGTTTAAGGCAGAGTTTTAACTGAACTTAAAAGATGCACACTATGAAACAATGCAGATATAACCTGTTTTCAAAAGTGTCAGAAATATCTATAATGATAGATAATATTTCACATTAAAAACAAAAATAGAAATATACCAACTAAAAAATGTCTGCAAACCGGTTTTCACCGGGTAACGTACGTTTAATTACATTTTGTTGAAAGACGCAGATTAATTGGAATAATATAGCATTCACTTTTTAGATGAATCCGAGAATAGTAATATAAAAATAAAATAGAAATCTAATTGTATTTAATAGATACATCATGTATTACTAATTCAGGTATGGTCGGATAAAACTGGTGTTTTAATATTTCATAAAAAAAACCGTCGAAAGATTAACAATATGCTGACGTCTGTTGGTTTGAGTAATTGGTCGAATTATAGATTTAATGGGGCATTATATGCAAGGGAAGGGTAGGGGGGGGGGGGTAATAATATATAAAGCAAAATTTGGTTCTCTCTAATTTTGTATTATCTGAAAATGGCGGGGAAACAGTAAACTGCGTGGACCATTGAAATCCTAAAATTTCTTAATTCAGCTTTTTTTATCCTATGTGCTTCCTGAGACATATGTAGCACTGCTGGGAATTCTTTTCAGAGGCACCCTAATATCAAGCAAATTTTTTTTCATTCTACTTTTTAACCTTTGTCTCAGATCTCTAAACGAAATTAATGAAAATATTATTGATTTTTTATCAGTGTTAAAGAACTTTTTCACACACCAAAACTAAATTTTTGTTTAAACAGGAAGAATTCAAAACTTTGAAACCTGCTCCAAATGTACTACTATCACACATAACAATAGTATATATAGATTAGAAGTAATAGCAGGTTATTGTTCAAAATAAGTTTGATTGTTGGAAAAAATGGCAATTATGTAATATTATGGAAATAATAGATTAATTGTAACTTAAATACATTATATATACATATAGGCAAGTGTGATTATAAAAGAACATGGCAGCTGAAACTGAACAAAAAATTGGAGTAGTATGGTTCATGTTATTATGGGAAAATAAAGGGATAGCTTTCAATATTGTTTGGAAATAAACAGATAAGCTCCTGGTTGAGACGGACAGTCCCTTTATGTATCCTAATACTAGAGCAAGCAAGCTTCCACAACATATCAAGGTAAGGTGAAAGAAACGAATTGAGTTTTGGCCACAAACTCTGATTGTTTTATCCCTATACCTTTGCAACCCTTACCCAATGTCGTAGAAATTCGATATTTCAAACTATGAATTATGTTAGATCAAATAATCTAAGCTTTAAATATCCAGTTTGCAAATATATATGGATTAGAAACTTTTAGTTAGCTGTTGGTGTTGAGGAAGACAACAACAATCTCTCAAAGATATAAAGGGACCGTTTTCGTGATTTTAAGCGATCCTCCAATTAAAGTGGGGCATGCCCAATTCATAACGGTACACTTTAAACCTTTATCTAATCAATAATGAGGGTGGATGGGAAATGTCAGCTTAAAAACACAAATTTTTCTAGAGAAATAATTGATATCTCATTCCTTCATGGTCAGACAAATGTTCTAAGGGCATCATTGCGAATCGGACATCCGACTTAGTAAATAGTGTTTGGCGAGTCACTATAAATTACGCCTACAGTCCCTTTAAATGCAGTTTTATCAAAGAAAGAAAAATTCTATCGCTAATAATCAAATAATTGTCGAAGCTGACCGTACTTTTTTTATGTTTTATCAGCAGTAATCTTCTCCTGTTAATTAACATTAATTATATATTAATGACAAACCTGTTAATAGCACCAGTTTAGAACTTAAAAGTACGACCAGAAGGGATTACGCTACACCGTATAAATGCCCCCCCCCTCTCTGTAAAAGATAATCCTTTATTCACGGAGGAATAGAAAGGATACATTTTGGTAATTTAACTAAGTAGTCCTAGGAAACTTTTCAAAATTTTCCTTCACACGCTCGATAAAAAATGTGAATAAGGAAAACAAAAACTTATCGTTTTTTACTTGAATTTCTCTTTCCGAGAAAAAAGATAATGATTAACAAATTGGATTCTTAACCCTAAACAGGCTGGGGGGGGGCGTTTGGCGCCCCCCCCCCTGTAGTTTTTTTTGTCCTAGCACTCTCATTTTTGACACTATTACCGTGAAATTTTGTGACTTTTGATGGTAATTTAAAGGATTTTTTGATAAAAAATATTTTTACTTATTTAATCTCCTGTTCAACGAAATAACCAACCTTTAATTCCCTCCTTTTTTATTTCCAGGGAGGATAATTACTTATCCTATCCTCGCTATTTACGGGGAGGATAATTACTTATCCTCCCTCTTTACAAGGAGGATAATTACTTATCCTCCTTGTGATATCAAATAAATAGATCTCTAATTTAATTTTATATTTACATTTATCGCTCTCTCAATCAATTTTGAAAAACCTCCCTCGCTACGCTCGTGAGGTTTAGAACCCCAAAAAGGTCTTGGAGGCCCTCGGCTAAGTGGTTTTCCCCTCAATTTAGTTATCCTCCCTTAATCTCCCGGTTAAGTAGTAATTAATAGTTATTATAGGGTACAGAGTGGAAAAAAGTCTGGTCTGTGAAAAAAATCTAAAATAGCCCATAACTTTTTTGTGACAAAAGCTTCAGATCTAAAAACTAGATTTTTGAAAAGCCCTTGAAAAGTGCATGTAGAAACATGTGTCACTCCCTAGCACCCAAACCATTAAAGTTATCGGTCCATTTTTTTTGAGCTGGCCATGAAAAATTGGCCTATGAACATACATTTCAACCCTATACCTATTCTCTAAGTCCGTTTTCTATGGTGGGGGGGGGGGTTTGCCAAACGACCCCCCCCCCCGGGCTATGCATAGATTCAGACCTCCCATCCTTTATAGGGTTAAAACAATTTAAATAATCACTGTGGCAAGACAAATAACACAACAAAAGTGATTTTACATTTTAAGATTATTAAGACTTATTTTCCTCTACATTAGTCTTGTTACTGATTATTATTATAATAAATCTCACTGGAAAACGTTTAAAATGACAGAGGTTGGTAGTTTTGTCTAGTAAATCTCAGGATTTGGCATTGATCTTTGTTTAATAAAATTCCTATTCGATATCCCGTGGTGTTTATGCCCGACAAGGATAATTTTAATTGAGGAATTAAGCATAAAGTGCCACATTGGATTTAGAAATGAAGAGTTCAAGATTAGTAATACTTCCCACAAAAGTTCACAGTTCATACCTCTATTTAATCAGATATATCTGAACAATCTCTCATCTAACAAAGTATCAACATTTTTTTGCTGTAACATCTATGAACCCCATTTTTGGGTCTCAGGATCTAATTTTAGGAAAGTTTAGGTTTTTTTATAATTAATTTTGTTTTCAGGATTGCTTAACAGAGAGATCTGTAACTTTTCTACAGAGATATTGTACTTTTCAGAGAAATGAACCATGTTCACTCCCCGTCACGGTAAAGTGTTATTTTTAGATTTATTCTATTCTTAAACATGTTCGACGTACCGAAAATGACCAAGATAGTTCGACATGTCGAAAATGATCAAGATAGATTGACATGTCGAAAATGACCAAGATAGTGTCTAAATGCCCCTAACGGGGGCTACACCAACTACTCTCCAAGTATACAAGTAAGTAAGTTTGGCATGTCAAAATGATCAAGATAGTTTGACATGTCGAAAATGATCAGGATAGATTAACATGTCAAAAATGACCAAGATAGTTTGGTATGTCAAAATGATCAAGATAGTTTTACATATCGAAAATGACCAAGATAGTTCGACATGTCAAAAATTACCAAGATAGTTTGACATATCGAAAATTACCAAGATAGTTCGACATGTCGAAAATGATCAGGATAGATTGACATGTCCAAAATGACCAAGATGTCAAAATGATTAAGATAGTTTGACATATCGAAAATGACCAAGATAGTTTGACATGTCGAAAATAACCAAGTTAGTTCGACGTTTCACAAATTACCAAGATAGTTCGACATGTCGATAATGATGAAGATAGATTGACATGTCGAAAATGACCAAGAAGATAGTTTGGCATGTCGAAAATGATCAAGATAGTCCTAGGAAACTTTTCAAAATTTTCCTTCACACGCTTGAAATTCTCTTTACTAGAAAAAAAGATGATGATTAACAAAATACTTTAATTATACTTTAATTATACTTTAATTATACTTTAATTATACTTTAATTATACTTTAATTATACTTTAATTATACTTTAATTATACTTTGATGATGCTTTAATTACTGATTTGTCTCAAATTTTGATTGGGGAACTCGGGAGACCCACGGGAATGTTCCTAGCTTGGTTTTGAGTAAGTCGAAAGTTTAGTTTCCCGGTAAAATCGTTCAAGTGCGGGTAAACGTCGTGAGTAACTTTAGCATCCTGGGCAGCGCTGGGTTCCCAAGCTATTTTGATATATTCAGATACTTAATTTTTTACGTTTTTTTCTTCAAAGACAAGTACGTCTAGTTGAAGTAAAGTACAAGTTAAATTGTAATCTTATATGTTTTTAAATATAAACTCTCTTATTGGAGAGATCTTGAGAAAAACAAAAATGTTTTAAACTTCTATATTTATCAGTTTAAATGAACTTAGTTTTTGCCACAAACTCAAATATTCAAACTTTTAAGATTTCAAACTATGAATTCTTTTACATCAAATAATCTAAGCTTAAAATATAAAAGGTTTATACCACCAGGGTTAAAAGATAAAGGAATTTAAGAAAAATAAGTTCCAATAGCTAAAACTCAGTTCCTTTGCTTTTCTAATACAAAATCAAAAATAGGGGAGCTATAAAGTCTTAAGTTATTACAATTAACAATTAACGAATTCCGTGTTAAATTAAAAGATTTAAACGGACTCCATCGATATAATTTCAAGTACACCTTAATTTTCAGATAGAAAAAAGAGGATAGCTCAATCTTTTTAGCTAGGGTTAAAGAGTAAAAGTGCACAGTTCTGAATCAAGTATAAAGGGTCACTTGAAATTACTTAAACTTTACTTTTTATGAGCGACACCGACTTTTAATCCACTGAATATAAATTTTCTGATATTTAAACTTATATTTTAGGTTTTCGGTTTATCCAGCTAGTGTTCACTGTATTCAATATACAGCCCACACTACATGTCTGGAGACAGTACAGCAAGTTTTAAATGGTTATGTACACTGTATAACATTACATATAGTATGTACATTGTATTGCTGAAGCTTAATGGAATAATTGTCTTTCCAAATTATGACCTATCTGGAAATATATTTTTACGCGTGCTTGTTTTCCTTTTTTTATTATTATTTTAGAGATAACGTTGAGCTCTTTATACTTATTATTAAATGGCCTGCAGTCCTGATTATTAATGACAGGCTGCCATTTTTTTTTAAATTAATTTTTTAGCTCACTACTCATTTTTATGTCTGTTTCTCTCGTCTGTCCTCTTTGGTTATTTTTGTCATTCTTTTTGTTTCTAAGTTCTCTTTTTTGCCCACGTTTTAGCTGTCCTGTCTACTAAAAACTCTTGTCTTTGTCCTGTTTTCGCTTTTCTGTCTACCGAAAACTCTTTTCTTCGCCCGTGTTTCTCCGTCCTGTCTACTGAAAACTCTTGTCTTTGTCCTTGTAGTTCTTCTTAGTTCAGTTCACTACTCAATTGTCCTTATTCCCTTTGCCTGATCAAGAGTGAAATAGATATCAGTGTTTAATTCTCTATAAATGAATTATTTTGAATTGTGTTTTCTCGATATATATGAATTGGGTAGTCTTATGCTGATCCAATGGAAGGAATTTCTCAGAGTTATTTACTTTTTAATCTAGAAGAATGGCGATATTTTCCATATTTTATTAATCATATTAAGGTTTGTTGTTGTGAATCCTGCATGCTCCTCTTTTTTTTACATGCAAGGTTATTTACAATTACGAGGACAGTGACTGTAAGTGTCAGCTCCTACCCGTAAAACGGTTCTACAGAAATACCAATTATCTTTTTTCCTCAATTTTGTATTCAATTATGCATGACAGACAATATCCTTGTAAAGCCCTAAGCAATCATTGATTTAGGTTTCATTATTAGTTGATATTTTGACTTGTAAAACATTTATTTAAACAAAGCTGAAGATTAGTGTAAGCCAAATCGAATTGTTAGAAAAAATATCAAAGTTTTGGTAAAAATAAACTTTCAAGATTCATTTAAAGTTTATTAAAAGTAACTACATGAATATTGATATTAATATTTAAATACAAGTTTTTATCTAATGATGATTTTTAAAATTTATTTTGACCACAAATGAACTGCGTTTTTGCCACACACTCTTAAATCTTTACAACCCTATGGGAATTGATTTTATATTTCAAATTATGAATTCTGTTAATAATCTCAGTTTAAAATATCAAAGGTTTATATCATGAGGTTGCAAAAAATTTAGAGATTAGAAAATTTGAGTTTGTTGCAAGAACGCAGTTCCTTTCCACAACATTAAAAGCTTAATCGAAGGCACATGACGATAATTTGTATATTTGTACAATCGAGTTTATACTAATCGTATTAAATTATGTATAATTTGTATATTTGTACAATCGAGTTTATACTATCGTATTAAATTATGTATAATTTGACGCTAATTTAATAAAGCAATCTTTTAATATCTTTTCAGAAAACTCTGATTTTCTTATCCATATCTTTTGCAGCCCAAGATATTCCAAACTATGCATTCTTTTAAATCAAATAATCTAAGTTTAAAATATCAAAGTTACACCATTAGGTTGCAAAATATAGGGGTTATAAAATAAAATTTGATTTTGTTTAAATATTTGTCCGGGAAAAAATGTATAATTTAAGAACATCAGCAGTTTTAGGTTTACGATAAAACTTTGTTATGAAATCAAACAGGGTTTTCTTGAAGAAACTGTTCAATGTTTAAATACAATAGGGCATACTTTGTACATATTAAGATATTTGAAGGGGACTGAAGCACAATTGCAAAGATGGCAATACTCTTTTCACTAAATCACAACGCACCCCACTCTAACAGTTGCATGATCCAAGTATGTACTGTCCAGTCTGGACTACCCAGTGTAGAGTCCACCCAGCACGTTTTATGCAACAAATGTACCCTGGCAAGCTATCAATGTTAAAAACAGATTATTTTCGCATTTCTCCTGCAGTAAGACATACAAGAATTATCGGAATTAAACTCTTTTAGACCTTGGAACTCGAAATCTTCCATTATTGACCAAATAAAGGTTTAAATCGGGCATTGCTATCTTTGCATGGGGTGTCACTTGATATTACGCTTACAGTCCCTTCACAAACTTCACACATAGATTAAATGTATAAACCAATATTTTGTAAGTTTAACGTAACTGTCACAGAACTTTTTAATCGGTTTAGTAATTTGTATCTCTCGTTGACCTCCTTTTATCCCTAGGGGTAAGTTTTGAAGAGTTTTTAATAAGCTAACAAACTGTTTTTTTGCTCTTTTTCTGATGTTTTATAATTATTGTTGTAGCTGTTGTTGTTGTTGTTGTTGTTGTTGTTGATGTTGTTCTTGTTCTTGTTTCTGTTGTTTTTGTTCTTCTTGTTTTCTTTATAAGGTGATCCTGACAGTTTCCTCTTTTGTACATATGGAAGAGGAAGCGTATGGTATGATCTAAAGTATTATAAATCACTTGTCCCAACTCTTAATTTTTAAATCCTTTTATCTTTTCAACTTGATTTCGCAGACCTTAGGTTTATTAAACTTTACATTCTGCTTTTTGCAAAACTGTAAAAAAGTGGCAGAACATTTTTAAACTATATGATTTGATATCTTAAGATCCGGGCAGCTGTGCAAATTGTGTATCAATTTTTAAGACTGGTCGACTTTGAAGTGTTACAACACCTTGGCCTTTGGATTTATCTTACTAACTCACTTATATATTCTTGTTATCCTAGAAATGTAATTTGTTTGCGAGCCTTTCCAAGTTTAACCGTTTTATAGAAAATTGGATATAAAATATAATGATAATTCCAATAAAAGCATAATCGAAATTAGTGAGATTTGTTTCTTAAATTATCTTATTAAATCTCCTTTTTTCCACTTGAATTAACTTAGGTTTAAAGTAATTTTAATATCAAATATTTTAAACTTGCTATTGAAGTTATTTAACTTTTTTTTAATGAGAATTTCATGCAAAATTTAAATGCATAAAAAGATTGTTCACTAAATTGATATCACCTGGTTGATCTAGATCTCCCTGGGTTCCCAACCAATATAACTAGAAGGGATCCAAGACAGATTAGGAATCCAAGAACCTGGATTCTGCTCCAGTTCTCTTCACTATATAGTAAATAGTAGTTTTAACCATTGGTAATATTTATGTCAATGAGAAGGGTTTGTTTACATTTAGGAGAAGGGTTTGTTTATGTCAAGGAGAAGGGTTTGTTTACATTTAGGATAAGGGTTTGTTTACATTTAGGAGAAGGGGTTGTTTACATCTAGGAGAAGGGTTTGTTTATATTCAGGAGAAGGGTTTGTTTACATTTAGGAGAAGGGTTTGTTTATATTCAGGAGAAGGGGTTGTTTACATTTAGGAGAAGGGTTTGTTTACATTTAGAAGAAGGGTTTGTTTACATTTAGGAGAAGGGTTTGTTTATATTCAGGAGAAGGGGTTGTTTACATCTAGGAGAATGGGTTGTTTACATCTAGAAGAAGGGTTTGTTTACATCTAGAAGAAGGGTTTGTTTACATTTAGGAGAAGGGGTTGTTTACATTTAGAAGAAGGGTTTGTTTACATTTAGGAGAAGGGTTTGTTTATATTCAGGAGAAGGGGTTGTTTACATATAGAAGGGTTTGTTTACATTTAGGAGAAGGGTTTGTTTACATCTAGGAGAATGGGTTGTTTACATCTAGAAGAAGGGTTTGTTTACATCTAGGAGAAGGGTTTGTTTACATTTAGGAGAAGGGGTTGTTTACATTTAGGAGAAGGGTTTGTTTACATTTAGGAGAAAGGGGTTGTTTACATTTAGGAGAAGGGGTTGTTTACATCTAGGAGAAGGGTTTGTTTACATTTAGGAGAAGGGTTTGTTTACATTTAGGAGAAGGCCGGAAAATGTAAAGCAATGAAATGCTCAGATGGTGTAAATACTTTAAATTAACTATAAGTTTTTTACTCATTTTAAGTTGCATTTGGAAATTTTATGAAGAAGAGCTTTCGACTTATTAACGTAGTTAATCTTATACTTTCTCATTTTTTTTTGCAAACTATATTTTTAAGAAGCCAAAAAAATGTTACCTGAAAAAGCCAAGATCCTGGATCGACAAAAATAAAAATCAGTTTTTAAAGAATAATCTTTTTCAAAAAACAATTTTTTTGTTACTTTGTAATCGGATAAACAATAACGTATTAAAGTGGAGGATAACTACAGAACAAAAGACGATGCCTCTTGAAATTATTAAAAGTCTGGAAAATGTTTAAAATATTTGAAACATTTTATGTTTATGAAATTACCTTATTCTGGGAGGCGCAGAATCCTTGGACTAAATCCCAACCATCCTGACATTCACACCTATACAGTACAGTTCGGTACAGTACACTACAGTAGCAGTATTTATTGCAGTACAGTAGCAGTACTTATTACAATACAGTAGCAGTATATATTACAGTACACTTTAGTATTTACTATAGTACAGTTGCAACTTGCAGTATTTAGTATCGTACAGTAGCAGCAGTATTTAGTATAGTACAGTAGCAGCAGTATTTAGTATAGTACAGTAGCAGCAGTATTTAGTACAGTACAGCTTCAGTATTTAGTAAAGTACAGTATCAGCAGTATTTAGTACAGTACAGTAGCAGTATTTAGTATAGTACAGCTTCAGTATTTAGGAAAGTACAGTAGCAGCATTATTTAGTATAGTACAGCTTCAGTATTTAGTAAAGTACAGTAGCAGCAGTATTTAGTATAGTACAGTAGCATTATTTAGTACAGTACAGTAGCAGCAGTATTTAGTATAGTACAGCTTCAGTTTTTAGTATAGTACAGCTTTAGTAATGAGTACAGTAGAGCTTCAGTAATTAGTTTAGTACAGCTTCAGTATTTAGCACAGTACAGCTTTAGTATTTAGTATAGTACATTAGCAGCAGGTTTTAGTATAGTACAGTAGCAGCAGTATTTAGTACAGTATAGCTTCAGTATTTAGTACAGTACAGTAGCAGCAGTATTTAGTATAGCACAGCTTCAGTATTTAGTATAGTACAGTAGCAGCAGTATTTAGTACAGTATAGCTTCAGTATTTAGTACAGTACAGTAGCAGCAGTATTTAGTATAGTACAGTAGCATTATTTAGTATAGTACAGAAGCATTATTTAGTATAGTAAAGTTGCAGTATTTAGTATAATACAGTGCAGTACACTTAAACAGTAAAGCTATTGTACATATTATAGTACTGTTCGGTTCAGGTACGGTACATTTGCAGTATATATATAGTATAGTACAGTGCAGTTTACAGCACAGTACAGTAAATCATAGGACAGTGCAGTACATTATAATAAAGTGCAGTACATTATAGTAAAGTGCGGTACATTATAGTGCAGTGCAGTAAAAAGCATAATGCAGTGCTGTAAAGTAGAGTTCGGTACAGTATATAGTACAGCTGTAGAGATACAAAATTACCGAATTATCAATAAAAGATTGTTGACCCGGAACAAAAACTACCAATTATTCTGCTACTTTCTAAATCGCCCTTTTTTACCAAAATTTACATTCGAACAAATGAACTTTTTCGAAAAACAGCGCACTGCAAAATCCAGACTTTCTGGAAGGAATTAACTAAAAAGCATATTTCTAATTTAACTAATTAGATAATCTGTACATTTCATTTGGCATTTAATGTGGCATTTTTAAAATCCTATTTGTAAAAATGCAATATTTAATTTCAGTAGTATGTACAGTTAAACAATATAAACGTTGCTGTAATAATCTGTATGTACAATACTAAAATACTCTGCAAAATACTGCAATTCTCTGTACAGCACTTTAAAAATCTGTACAATACAAGATACCATTCTGTGCAGTACATTAACACTTTGTAAAAATAATGGAATAATAAAAATACTTTACAAATATGTACATATATAATATGTACAGTAATAATGTTATAATCTAAACAATATTGCTGTAATAATCTGTACAATAATACTGTTATAATATGTACAATAATAATGTTATAATCTAAACAATATTACTGTAATAATCTGTACAATATCACTGTAATAATCTTTACAATATTACTGTTATAATCTGCACAATATTACTGTAATAATCTGCAGAATATTACTGTAATAATCTGTACAATAATACTGTAATAATGTGTACAATAATAATGTTATAATCTGCACAATAATACTGTAATAATCTGTACAATATTACTGTAATAATCTCTACTTAATATTACTGTAATAATCTGCACAATATTACTGTAATAATCTGCACAATATTACTGTAATAATCTGCACAATATTACAGTAATAATCTGTACAATATCACTGTAATAATCTGCACAATAATACTGTAATAATCTTCACAATATTACTGTAATAATCTGCACAATATCACTGTAATAATCTGCACAATAATACTGTAATAATCTGTACAATATTACTGTAATAATCTGTACAATATTACTGTAATAATCTGCACAATAATACTGTAATAATCTGTACAATATTACTGTAATAATCTGTACAATATTATTGTAATAATCTGTATACTATTTCTGTAATAATCCATACCAAAATTTTTTTACAATGATATTGTTATAATCTGTACGTACCAAAACCCTTCTTTATCCTCCCGTACAACACACTCCAGGTTGACGTCATCTGTTTTGCATTCTGCAGAGTCTGTACACGGCTGCCAGTACATACCCATCTATACAGTACACATATTATACTCATGTATACAGTACAAACATTATACCCATCTACGCAGTACACACATTATACCAATCTATACAGTACACACATTATACTCATAAATACAGTACAAACATTATACCCACCTATACAGTACAAACATTATACCATTCTATACAGTACTAACATTATACCCATCTATACAGTACAAACATTACACCCATCTATACAGTACAAACATTATACCCATCTATGCAGTACAAACTTTATACACATCTATACAGTACAAACATTATACCAGTCTATACAGTACAAACATTATACACATCTATATAACAGTGCAAACATTATACTCATATATACAGTACAAACATTATACCCATCTAGACAGTACAAACATTATACCAGTCTATACAGTACAAACATTATACACATCTATATAACAGTGCAAACATTATACTCATATATACAGTACAAACATTATACCCATCTACGCAGTACACACATTTTACCAATCTATACAGTACACACATTATACTCATAAATACAGTACAAACATTATACCCACCTATACAGTACACATATTATACTCATATATACAGTACACACATTATGCCCATCTACACAGTACACACATTATACCAATCTATACAGTACACACATTATACTCATATATACAGTACAAACATTATACCCATCTATACACTACACAGTACACACATTATACCCATCTATACAGTACACACACATTATACCCATCTATACAGTACACACACATTATACCCATCTATACAGTACAAACATTATACCCATCTATACAGTACAAACATTATACCCATCTATACAGTACATACATTATACCCATTATACTGATTTCTATCTTTAAACTCCCGCCCAAGGAGGGGTCTAAGGCCCCTGAGATTGTTTGTGTGATTCCGCAAAGTATTAAAGTAACCTCTACTTTAGCCCCGCCCCCCCCTCCCAAAGAAAAGAAGAGAAAGACACGCTCTCAATCAAAAATAGAATGCCCCCCTTTACAGCTCTAGAGGGGGCAGTGCCCCCTCGCCCCCCCCCCCTGCATACGCCCTTTCTTATGTCCAGTTAGAACAACTGAAAGAGGGAAACTACTAAATTAAAAATGTACTGAATAATTTAAATTGATAAAAATAGTGAAAATGTTTGAAAAAAAACCTAACATAACATGCATTAATGTAATTGTACAAATTTTAATCAGTAATGTGTGCTTTTAACTTTTTATTAAAATCTCAGTTTAAAATGATGTATGGAATAAAATACTTAATTCTTTGTTTGAAATGATGTATGGAATAAAATAATTAAATCTTAGTTTGAAATGATGTATGGAATAAAATATTTAAATCTTAGTTTGAAATGATGTATGGAATAAAATATTCAAATCTTAGTTTGAAATGATGTATTAAATAAAATATTTAAATCTCAGTTTGAAATGATGTATGGAATAAAATATTCAAATCTTAGTTTGAAATGATGTATGGAATAAAATAATTAAATCTTAGTTTGAAATGATGTATAGAATAAAATATTTAAATCTCAGTTTGAAATGATGTGTGGAATAAAATATTCAAATCTTAGTTTGAAATGATGTATTGAATAAAATAATTAAATCTCAGTTTGAAATGATGTATGTAATAAAATAATTAAATCTCAGTTTGAAATGATGTATGTGAATAAAATAATTAAATCTCAGTTTGAAATGATGTATGTAATAAAATAATTAAATCTCAGTTTGAAATGATGTATGTAATAAAATAATTAAATCTCAGTTTGAAATGATGTATGGAATAAAATATTTAAATCTTAAAACTTGAGTGGATTGGTGGATGTTAAATTTCTGTAAATAAGCCTAAAATCTACAGTCTAAATAATGAACAAAAAAAAATGTTATAAGGGGTGGGAAGGGGGGCTGTGAAAAGTACAAAGCATTTATGTCTACATTTATGAAAAAGTTCTATTTATAAAATATAATCTGCTATGTTTAGTGATTGGTAAAGGCTGTTTAAATATTTAAGAAAATTGTCATGAAATATCAGCATAAAGATTATATATAATTGTATGGTTCTGAAAAAAAAACATAGAAAAACTGTAAGAAACCAAATTAAATCGGATTTTTCAGGAATGTTCGAAAATCCTGCGCTAGCCGTGAAAACAAGTTGTAAGCGAAATATTAATTTTCTAAGAAAAACAAAAATATTTTGAAATATCAATTATAAACGAATGAGTCAAAAAATCGATGATATAATAGGTTGGAATTAAATTTAGCTTGAAACGTGTCCAAATCCTTGACAGTTGGTAGTTATATATTAACTCGTTGAAATTTTCAAAGATTAAATATAAAATTGAAACATTGAAGAGAAATTTTTAAATCTAATTATTTTCTCTCCAAGTACTTCACCATTTAATTAAAATCCTAGCTTATTTCAAAATTTAATGAAGAAAAATCTTTAAAGGAAGAAGTTTCATCATGTAAAACGACACAACGAAATACATTCCAGTCTGCAGTATCCGAATATTCTGATCTATAATTCCTGTCTGCAGTATCGGAATATTCTGATCTCTCATTCCAGTCTGCAGTATCGGAATATTCTGATCTCTCATTCCAGTCTGCAGTATTGGAATATTCTGATCTCTCATTCCAGTCTGCAGCATCGGAATATTCTGATCTCTCATTCCGGTCTGCAGAATCGGAATATTCTGATCTCTCATTCCAGTCTGCAGTATTGGAATATTCTGATCTATCATTCCTGTCTGCAGTATCGGAATATTGGGATCTCTCATTCTAGTCTGCAGTATCAGAATATTCTGATCTCTCATTCCAGTCTGCAGTATCGGAATATTCTGATCTCTCATTCCATTCTACAGTATCGGAATATTCTGATCTCTCATTCCATTCTGCAGTATCGGAATATTCTGATCTCTCATTCTAGTCTGCAGTATCGGAATATTCTGATCTCTCATTCCAGTCTGCAGTATCGGAATATTCTGATCTCTCATTCCATTCTACAGTATCGGAATATTCTGATCTCTCATTCCATTCTGCAGTATCGGAATATTCTGATCTCTCATTCTAGTCTGCAGTATCGGAATATTCTGATCTCTCATTCCAGTCTGCAGTATCGGAATATTCTGATCTCTCATTCCAGTCTGCAGTATCGGAATATTCTGATCTCTCATAAAAGTCTGCAGTTCGGAATATTCTGATATCTCATTCCAGTCTGCAGTATCGGAATATTCTGATCTCTAATTCCAGTCTGCAGTATCGGAATATTCTGATCTCTCATTCCAATCTGCAGTATCGGAATATTCTGATCTCTCATTCCAGTCTGCAGTATCGGAATATTCTGATCTCTCATTCAAATCTGTCAAAAATAGCGTGATGAAAGAAACTGTAATATTTAAAATATTGAATACATAGAACAACAAAATAGTGAAAAATAAAATTCAACCAAAAAAGTTGTTTTGCACTAGTGAAAATGTTTTCACCTCGCAGTCTTATTTTTGATAATATCATCTTGAAATTTCTTGAGTTAGAAAAAGTGATTTAAAGTATTTAATGCAAAAAGGTTTATTCTTTAATGCTCAGGGTAGGGTTATGGAGGACACTTTATAAAAATCAAAAATAGCCAATACATTTTTGTTCTTTAACTTAAAACTTGGAACCAAGGGCGTAAAAAGGATTTCCTAAGACTAAAAAGGGAAATTCAGGAAATTCCATGGCATTGCCGGACATGAGACAAATGCATACTGAAACTGCAAAGTATAAATCACGTGTTCCAATCCGTAAACCGATTTCTAATGTTTACCTTTGATAATTCAATATGCTTAATATTTAATAAGAATGGCTGTTTGATCGATGAAACCGCTAATAATACCAAAATAGCTTTAATTTTATCGTTTAATAAAAACTATAGCATCGATAATTATACATTTACAATTTACATTTTTTTGACTAACCAAAGTTTTGTATTGACTGATAAAGATTTGTATCAACTGATCAAAGGTTTGTATCGACTGATGAAAGTTTTGTATTGACGGACCAAAGTTTTGTATTGACTGTTCAAAGTTTTGTATCAAATGACCAACGTTTTATGTTGACTGTTCAAAGTTTTGTATTGACTATTCAAAGTTTTGTATTGACTGTTCAAAGTTTTGTATTGACTGATCAAAGTTTAGTATTGACTGATCAAAGGTTTCTATTGACTGATCAAAGTTTTGTTTTGACTGATCAAAGTTTTGTATTAAATGACCAAAGTTTTATATTGACTGATCAAAGTTTTGTATTGACTGATCAAAGTTTTGTTTTGACTGATCAAAGTTTTGTATTAACTGATCAAAGTTTTGTATTAAATGACCAAAGTTTTGAATTGACTGATCAAAGTTTTGTATTGACTGATCAAAGTTTTGTATTAAATGACCAAAGTTTTGAATCCACTGATTTAAAATTACATCAATGATCCAAAGGCATGGTAAAAAAGTAAGAGTTAAAAAACGTGATTCTCCCAATTTTTACTTTCGATGCTCTTTAATAAACCAACATTTTAAAGGGGTGTTTACAGGGAAAGAAAAAAGTTTTCAAGTCAAAACTTTTTTAGAAGTAAAGACTTTGCTGGGATATTTGTTCCTTTTAACGGTTTAAATATTTTTGAAATTCTTAGGTTTGACAAAATAGAAATATAATGTGTAAGTTATGTTCTGAACACATGCAGGAAAAATATGAATTATTAACTCTAAAAGACGGGGGTAAATGCTAGAGGAGGGGGCCGTTGCATTTGCCCCCCCCCACACAAAAAAAGCCTTACACAAGGTATGGAAGTGAAAAACGTGTTACTGTTAATAGGCCAATTTGTATTGATACTTGTTATACATGGAACAAATTTTCTATTATAATTCTTGTATGGCTTTTCAAATATTTAACTTTTCTACTATGTAGCACGATTACTTTTTTAAGGTTTAAAAAAAATGTCTAAGCATCTACAGGCCTGTTCATAGTTCTACAGATGTTAGGTACTTTCCCAAAGGCATTTACCCATATGCAAACTTCCCAAATGGGCAATTTTCCAAGCGGGAACTTCTCAAGTCAATCCTAGCCGCAACGCATGACCCCCTAGCATGTTCTAGCCGCAGCGATCGGCTCCACATTGCAACCTTTGTGAAGATGCCGCTTGAGAAATCTGAAATCGCAATTGCCTTTTGAGAAATTGTCCAATTGGAATTCGCCCTTGGGAAAATCCAACATCCATTTGAAAGAGTATATAGCACGGGACAACGCAAACTCATATTTAAAATTAAAAGTATTTAGTAATTCTGTTTACAAAAGAGAATATCAGGAATTATTTTAAAGAGACAGTAGACCTAATTTAATTCAAATTTAATAAAGTGGCATGTTTGCTTGGTTAACCCTAAACAAACAAAAACATGTATATTCCTGATCAGACACAGCTTTTTAGTGTACCGTAGTAAATCAATCGGGCATTGCCATTTTTGCAAGGAGGGTGACATGAAATTACGCTTACAGTCCCTTTAACGTTTTTATAGAAACATGTAAACTAACCTTTCCCCTAAGCCTGCTTG